GACAACACCAAAATTTAATTTTTAACATCAATGTAAGGCTACATAACGTAATGATATTGAACGATTGCTGAAACTCCAGTGAAGCCTATGACTGTTTGCTCTCTCTAATCTTAATGATATCATAACCATAAGAAGTAAGTCAAAGATAAAATTCTAATTAAACGTGCATTGATTGATAAAATGTGTGTATACGTATATATGTATATATATATATATATATATATATATATTTTGTTCAAAGAATAAAATTAAAAATCATTTAAAAAATTACAAACAATAGCTGAAGTTTAATTTCAAGAGTATAGAGTAATAGAATTTAATAGGCCAAGGCACCAAGAGATTCGCCAATACATGTGTAAAACAAGATAAAGAGTAGTGATTTTTAATATTGATGAGAGGCAAACAGGACTGTTAAGCCATAAGGCAATTATAATCGACTGGCATATTCACTAGAGTTGTTCACAATTGAAGTAATCATTACGTTACATTACCTAATATTGATAATATAACGACAACAAAATCAAAGAGGTTCCAGGGCTCCTTGAAGTAGTGGTAACGAAGCGCGAAGATCTTCATGAGACACTCGCTGGTAAATATCACAATGAATATCATGTTCAGGTAGTCCAGGACGTTACTGAATGTGTCACTCTGCTGGTAATGGTCGAGCGTCATCGTAAGCATATTCAGCCCAATGAACAACATTATTATCATATCGAACTTCTTGTCCGTCACTATCTCGAACACGATCGCCTGAGGCCTCCACTGTAAATTTCACAAAAAAAAAGTTTAGTTATCGTTTGAGCGGCTATTAATACTATCTATAGCTTTATTCTAAACTAGATTTATTAAATATAGTCAACCTATCTGAATAGTACCTATGATGGCTCCAAACTATCGGATGAGTCTAATGTTATGGTAAAATTATTCAAGGGATTAGAGTAATTTTCTTTCTCTTAAATATTTTTCATCCTTAATATCTGCTGATTATGTAGTATTTCATTCTGAGATTCTATTATTAATCAAAAGCTATGCTACAATTGTGTAATTTACAAATTTTAATATTCTAATAGATACTGAAATTATACTTAATATGAATTATCATCTCTAATACTACGTATTAATACTTAATAATATTATGTTAATTTATTAGCGTAAGACTTATCACACATTTTATATATTTTAAGGGATATAGTTGTTCCTAAAATACTAAGTCTTACCTTACTTTATGTTACTATCATTCAATAGTTGTTATTTATGCAACAACAAAAAAAAAAAAAAAAAAAAAAATCTAGATGCAATCTTACCTTATCAATATTAATAATTTCTTCTACTTTGGATAAAAATTACATTAATTGTACGTAGAAATTTACTTTTCACTTCTACATGAAAATTTAAATTGTAAATTAAAATGTTTTAAAGTATAAATTATATTTAACATTATATATATATATATATATATATATCTTTATTTTTTTTTTTTAATTTTTTTTACAGGCACTTAGGTATAAAAGCATATTATCAACAATTTAATAAGGCAAAAATATTATTATTTTTTTTTTTTTTTAAAACACAAAAAAAAAATAATATCTTTTTACTGCAAGCAAAATTCTATTCGTGTATTATCAAGCTTGAAAGGAGCAAACAGTGTAAGTTTTGTTAATTTTATATTTAAATGTAAGCTTATATTTTGTAAGTTATGAATTTGTATAAATAAAGAAACGTAATGTCGATATTAACACAAACATAGACAAGTTTCGAATGAAAAATATCGAAGAAAAAGTTTTAGAACGTATTTTTATATTTTTTTTTTCGTCGTTACTGGCTTTAATGAAAGTGCCATTTTAGAATATAATATCTTATAATATAAAATTAAAATATTTATATATTATAATATTTTTATATATAATAAGAGTTTTATTATATTTTCCAATTTTAAGAGCTATCGGCAAATATTATTAATGCTCTAACATCTTGAAATTTTCTCATAACTTCTGTATAAATAGTAGTTGTATATTTAAAAAAATTAATGATTTATTCTAAAAATAATTCTATATAAGTTTATTTAATAATATTTATCAATATGTTAATCGTGTGCATTAGAAATATGTGCATTAAGATTAAGAATATTTATTTTCATGCTTTACCAATATTTTGAAATAATGATTTAACAATATTAAATTTGAAGGAATATTTATCTTTCTATAGTCTGAGTTATTTGCTATTTATTTTTCCATTATTGCAATGAATCATTGAAACATTTCGTCAAATTTAATATATTTTTGATCATATGTAAAATTCAGAAAATAAAATTTCAATAAAATTTATATGCTTTTACTATTAATAAGCAAATATTTCATGCAGTATTATGTTTTCCATAAAGTACTGAATATTGTTCTAGATACTTTTTAAATTTAATATAAGATAAATACATCACCTATTAGATCAGAAAATTATAAATATCGCTTTACAAATGAAAATTCGTTTCGTTAGATTATCGAGTTAATGAATAAATCTTTGTTAAATATTATATTATATTTATTGAATAGAAGCTGCTGGTTCAAAAATCTTATCCTTGTTCATATGTGCCATGCTGTGATAATTTAGTTTTCAGAATTATTATTAATATTTATAATGAGGATCCGCCTTTAGATTTAATATATCTTAAACAATATGCACTGTTTTATATAATTTTTAATATTCTTCATAAAATTTTTTAGTGAAATATTTATAATATTTTCTAATACAATCTATTATTACAATAAAAATATATTATTTATTATAATGATATTTAAGTACATATGCCACGACATATTTTATAAAAAAAAAAATTTCATTCGAATTTTTCATTCTAGAAGTATGAAAATCATAACAGTGTTCGGAAATTAGCTACAGAAATTAATAGAAAATAGCCTTCTCAATAATAAGAAAGAAGGTTGAATTTACAATGTAAAATTACTTCAGAATTGTCGTCCTCCAATACTTTATAATTAATCATACTTTAATCTAATTAAAATGATTGGATTTCAGTAATTTTAAATCACATGAAAATTGACAATATTGTATTATCCTGCTATTATTATTAATCACAATTTTTTAGATTAACGTACTCAAAAGATGAAACTGGTTATTCGCTAATTCGAACTACTCCATATAAACATGACCAGACTTCATATAAAGAAATGGAATATTTCCACAAGCAATTTAATCATTCGCATTTTTCATATAATTTTCACCAATCCTTACTCATTATTTGATTATAAATTAATGTGTCTATTATAATAAGGTCAAAGTGAATTGTATATTAAACCGTTATATCAAACAACATTCGCCTATTCATTAATATCATATCAATAATATTGTAATTTTTTGTATGTAAATAAATTAAAATTAAAATTCACTTATAAAGTAAAAAAATTATATCATATATATTAATAGAAAGATTGTAGATAGTCTAGGGTATGATATATTTATATATAAAATTTGTAACAAATTGGATACTTAAATTATATAACAACCTATTAACGTAGAAAATTGTGTTAAAAAAAATAAATAAAATTCAAATTAATTCTACAATTAATATATATATATATATATATATATATATATATATATATATACATTTCACTTTATATGTATTTCACTTTATATATTAGTAATTTAATAACAATGCAATTGAATAATTAAAAATACTGTACGAAAATGATTGTCATGATACGCGTATAAAATATTTACTACAAAAAATTGAAAAACTATTTATAATGATAAGAAATTGTTGATAAAAAGAGATAAAAATTTTACCCTTGGCCGAGGAATTGCTTTCAATGGCTTTTTACTGCCCATTTTTTTCATAGCATTGTAGTATTTTTTCTGGTCCTCTGTCATGAACATCTCGAGGGAGCCACCGGCTTTCTTTTTCTGTTCGTTGAAGTTGTCGATGATAACTCCGATAAACAGATTGAGAGTAAAAAACGATCCAAATATGATGAAAAATACAAAATATAGATACATGTAAATGTTTGTTTCGCGAATCGGCTGCTTATTTATCTGAAAAAATAACGGTACGTGTTTTTTATATAGGAAATAAGTCAACAAGTCAATTGCATTTTATTTTAATCATAAATGAAATATAAGAGCTGGGAACATTGTTTGTTAAAAAGAAAAAAAAAAAAAATTCTTTTGTACTATCTTGTAAAGGATTAAAATCATTTATAAATCTATATTCTTCTACGTAAATCATAATTACAAGGCAATTCGAGTAACTCTATAAGTATTATCTAATATCTGATAAGTGTTGGTTATTATAAGTTATTATGAGCAAATATTGTTTACATACTTCTCTCGAGTCAATGGCATCATTCATAATTTGAATCCAGCCTTTGAAAGTAGCCACTTGAAATAGACACAAGTAAGCTTTGCCCACGTGATCAAAATTCATCGGCGAATTTTCCCACGTATAATTTTCAGCTATACAAGCGTTGCGATCGGGAATAATTTCATAGCTTAGAGTAGTTTTATTCGCGTCGACGCACTGTGAATATTATTTATTTTTATGAATAATTGAACGTAGTAGAAAATTTTCACTAAATGCTCTTTATAGGCATTATGAATTATATTATAAACTACCTTGAAATATTTTCCGGCGAACAACTGAACACCCATAATTGCAAAAATCAGCCAGAATATGAGGCACACTAGCAGCACATTGAAGATGGATGGAATAGCTTGGACCAGCGCGTTTACGACGACCTATGCCAGATGTATTCATCAATTAAGATTGCATTTGTGTTTGTCAGACGTTCGTAGTAACTATTGAAAACTTTGATTTTGCATTCTACTGTGCTAATTCTGTGTATAAGCACGATAGAGAAAAGTATTTGCAGTAAAACTAAAATACATACATAAAGACACACATATATATACACACACACACACATACACACTCTCTCTCTCTCTCTCTCTCTATGTATATGTATTTACGTATGTATACACATATATAAATATATATGGTTAATTTTCAGGTAATTACGATTTTTTAAGATATAAAAATTGTTTATCTACATTTTTAATTAATTTCCGTTTTAAAAACACGTGATGATGATAATAATAATAATAATAATAATAATAATTGTAAGCAAGAATAATTGAGATCCTAATTTTAATCGTGATATCTTGACTGGAATAACTTTCACTCGCTTTACAAAATTACGAACAATTTTTTTTATATTTTATTAAATAGTCAATATAGAATCGAACTTTGTCTTTATTAAACAATATTATTCTATACAACATATTGCAATAATCTTTTTATTTATACTCTTAAATAATTATATTAAAATATTGGAATGCTTTGTTATAAGAACTAGATAATTTATTACAAGGAATAAAATATATCATAATTACACCTGAATCAACCATAGAGTAATATTTAAAGCATGTTTCAATAATATTTGCAATTGTGCTTATTCAAATTTTAATCTAACATTTGTGATATTTTATGTTAATATCTGTAAATTAATAAAAAGAAAAATATTTTAATAAATGTATTTATTTTTTTTTTCTACAAAAATATTTTCAGTCACGTGTAAACGTTAATTGCTTAATTGCTTTACAAATACTTCCGAGTACTAATTGAGTATGTCACTAAGCGTACGATTCAACGTACTTTTTATATGTGTATAGGAATGTGTATATCATGTTCATCTATTAGCAATTAATTTAACATAATAAATACAAATAACGCGTACTAAACTTAATTGAAACTACTCAATCATTTTTAAATCCTTAGACATTCAGAGATTCAGATTTAAATTTATTTTTCAAAAAAAAAAAAAAATTACATTTTGTAAAATTTGTGCATTTATTGCTTGATGAAAGCTTTGTTATGAAAACTAAACGTTTATAACTAATGAAGTGCAGCTTATCTAGATATATTTTCTTATGTATTGAGAAATCTTACATAAAATACTAATTTTCAATGAATTTTGAACAAATTATTATTTACTGAAATCTTGACGTCTTAATAAAATAATAAATTAATCCTTTACTTTTCATTCAATGAAATATTAATATTTATTATCAATATTATCTTGAATAATTTGTAATTTAATTTTGCATGTTTTTATTCAATGGAGATGTAATAATATAACAATTTAGTAATACTAACATATAAATTGACATAATTAGACAATTTTCTTTATATAGTATTTTATATACATTATCTGTATTGATTTAAAGTGTGCGTGGATTTTGAAATACTGAATTTCATAATGATATAATAAATAATTGATATTTAGTAAAGTGACAAGAAGATAAATTTTAACATCAGCCACTAATAAATACAACAATGACGTTTACAAGACCATTGAGACCATTGAGACAGAAAAACACTAAATCAATAATAATAATAATACAAGTAGATTAGTCTAGAGATTAAAGAGCGGTCAAAGATACATCAAGAAAAATAAAATATAAACAACATAAGAATGAGCGCATTTGTGTGCTAGTTAGAGTATTATGGGTATGGTTTTAATTGTTTAAACCCAGTGTCTCAGCGACCTTGTGTCAAAGCATTAACGAAATATGCAAAGAGTGATTTTTGTACTCAATAGTTAAAAAAAAAAACAAAAAAAAAAAAAAAAAAAAAAAAATCAGTAAATATTCAGTAAATGTGTAATATATTGCAAAAGTATTCGGTGTACTAATTTCTTGTTTGCTACCATGTGTTTCTTTTTCATTCGATTTTTCACGCATTCGAAGATATGTATAAAAGTTAGCTACTTGTTGCTGTGAAGCTGTGCATCATCCATCAGCCGCTCGAATGCATTGGATCATACAAAAAATTCGTTTCACGTGCAGATATTTCATAATAATTGGATTTTCTGCATTTGGAAAAGGAGTAGTTTATTGTTAATAGAGTCTTATTCATCAATGTTTGATGAACATGAATTCATGTGAACTTCAAGTCATGCAGTTCAAATAAAATGCAAACTACAATTTATATTCAATGTTAAATATTAGAAATATTATAATAATTTCTATTAATCTTAGAATCCATTCTTTTATTGGGCATTTTTATAAATATATAAGCATATCAATGAAATTTATAAATATAAATTTCAATATAATTTTTACCTCCTATGAACAATACATATTATGAATAACATGTAATAAATGTAAAATAATGTCCACTACAGTTTTCTAATTTTCCCACAAATTATTTCCATATTAATTTTTCTTTTTTTCTTCATTACAAGTAAATTTTCTAATTTGATAGGAGATGGATACTTTTAATATATAATGAATTATAAATATTTGTAAATAATAAATAATTCTACAATTATACTAGATAGGGATTTGTTAATTGGGCTTAATAATATTTAAGCATTTAATATCTCTAAATATAGCTATTTATATGATCATATAACAATAATTTTAGTTTACACATGTTAGGAATTATAAGGAATTTGCGTGTTGAATATAGTTTGATAGAGGCATTGTGGATTACTACGTTAAAATGTGATATTAATCGCCTACTTTTATACGCTATTTGACAATATTATCATGATCAACTAAATGCAATGGACGTTTGGTGAATCAAACTATTCTATGCAATTTAATAAAAACTACAATAAGAAATATATCAATATAATATAACATCGAAACAACAATATGTAAATTCTCCGATGAAAACATATTTCTTTTTCTAGTCTAAAACAATATCTGTTATAACATTCATTAGAGTATCATAATTTAATTTTTATTTTTATATTAAAAAGCTATGTATACTAGCAATTGAAGTTCTAGGTTAATATTGAAAAAATAATATGCTTTATTTGTATATATGTTATATATTATAAGTCTCGTGATAATTATCAATTAAAGGGGAGGAGATAGTTGCTTTAAAATGTCCTTTACCTTTGGCTTGCAATCTGCATGTAACTAAAATTATCCGCACATTTAATTTAATTAAGTTATTGATTTTTATAATTTATAAAATTTTCAATATGTATTGAAACTAATATTTAATGCACATTCCAAGAAATGGTACACACACATCTTTTTCAATTAAATAGCTTTATTTTATTTCATTATTAAATGGCAACAAATTATTTGGCTTTACTTTTTCTTTGGTATTATTTCAATTTCGTATAAAAATTTGAAGAAATGAACGACACGCAAAATGCTTCTTGAATATATTAATAATATGACTGTCACGTCCCCTTTGTTAAAATACTAGAGAGTTGCAAGATTATACGTGTGTGTACGGAAAAAAATAAACAGTTGGTGCAAGTAATTTCGTACTTCATAGGAAATATTAATATGTCATTTATTGTGAATAAACATTATGTCCGCAACAATTAAAAATATAATTTGCATTTATACAATTCGATTTTATAGAAAATCCCATGAGTGTAAAAAGAAAAAATTAATAATTTATCTATATATCTAAATAATTTATCTAAGTACACAACTTCAATTAATTCTCATAAATTTATTTAATTTATCCTTCAATATATGAGCAAATTTTTTCAAAAAAGACAAATTTTTGTTGAAATTTATAGGCCAATAATATAAAAAATATTCTCAGTACAAATACAGCACTGTAACGTGAAATGCCTAAGCTATTCGAATAGCTTAGCAATTATATGAACAATTTAATTTCTTCCGTGTTCAAGTAGAGCTAGGTGTTTGATACAATGGAGCTGTTATTATTATTTCGATATTAAAAAAGAAAAAAAAAGTATTGCTGCTATGACATTGTAGTAAACACAAGAAAGAGTAATAATAAACGGAGAATCGGTGGATCTGTTCATTGAAAGGTCCGCTGAGACTTAGGGCTACATACCCGCATTCCCTGCATTCTAGACATCGCCCTGAGTGGCCTTAGGGCCCTTAGGGTCCGCATTGTTTTGAAGGCTTGGATTCCGCCTGCGCCACAGAGCGACGCTACGAAGTTAATGAGAGACACCTGCGAGCGACAAAATTGAACAGCGAATGATAGAATACAAAAGGGAGAGAAAAATGACAGTTTGCTTAATTTTAGATTGTTTCTGTCTTTGTCGCCTAATATACGCTCGCTTTATTTTCTCCATTCGTCATAGAGATTACTGGAAACTATTGTATATCAGTATTCCCGAACGTTGGGGTGATATATTTTCTCGCTGTTTTATTAAGCGGAAGATTTTCACCTTTTTTTTTTTTTATTATCTGGGCTAGTAGGAAAGGAAGAAATAGAGTGAAAGAGAAATTCAAACATATAGATGGACATGAAATAGGTAATATTATGTATGCATTGTGGACTTGACGCTGCAGACAGCTCTGGCGGATCGTACGGTATTCGTTTTGTTTGTGTGTCAAATGTGATTGTCCTTCGATATGGCGTCGATAGACCAGCATAATTTTAATGTCAAAAATTCATGAAACTATGAGCAGTTTTAATTTTGCTCATTATTAAATTTTTATTCAAGTTCAAGTTTTTTTTACCATGTATTCTGAATAGAATTATTTAAATAATATATGAGAACTACTTTAAAAAATATTATTCTCATACATATTGACAATTCAGGTGCTCAAATGATGCTTAAAACATAATCCATTGATTTCGACATAAACATTTATTTCTCAAGTACTATAGATTTACTTAAATGGAATTAAAGGAGCTCTGAGTACTCATACATGATCCGAATTCAATAGCACAGATAAATTTATATTTACCAAGCGACAATTTCATTTATTTTCAATATTTCAAACTTTATTAAAATATTAATAAAACAAATAAGATTTCATTTTCTTTTTTTTTTTTTTCTTCTTAATAAAAATAATTAAGCAACACTGTGATATTATGTTCCAATTGTAGAATTACACAAAAGATGAAGCAAAAATTTTGCAAGCTTTAAATACAACTCTGGATTTACGATTCGCTGATTCGACGTAAGAACAAGACATTCGCGTATGTGATAATGAAAAAGTGTAAAATGTATAAATAGCAATAAATAATACAATATATAGCATAAACAACCAGAAGTTAAAGAAGGAGTATAGGACGTAGATAAGACACACTGTCTTAAATTGAAAAAACACATTGATATGTATATGTATATGTATACACACACAAACGCAAATATAAATATACATATATATATATATATATATATAAATTTATGTGTGTGTGTGTGTGTGTATATGTATATATGTATATATATATATATATATATATATATATATATATATATATATATATATATATATATACATATATATTTATAAATCAGCTGCTCCTGAAACAGATTAAAAGTTTTGTATATGGTATTTCGATTTTCAATTGGTTCATTATCGATTTAAATTTACTTAAAAGCTTAAAAATTTTGTACGACGCCATTATTAACGGATTATTGAATCATAAAATGAATATCAAAATATTTATTGTATGCAATTTTTATTTCATCAAACAATGTTTATTCAATTTGTAATTAAGTTTTATATTACGACTTTATAAATTTTATAGTGTGTTCACAAAACTTATATATTTTATATAGTGAATATTAAATAAATAGAAATATGAAATATAACCAATAGACTTCACTGTTATTTCAATGTCTTTGAATTTTATCTTACGACAGACAGTTGCTATCATTGAATGTAAAATGTAAATCTCTGGTTTTTATTACATAATTTAGGACTTCGTTTATTCAAAGTCAATTATCACAAATTTTATTGGGAAAAAATATAGATGAAATAGAATTGGAATTCCAACGATCAAAGAAACTTTTATGCAAGCGCAAATCGATTGCTTTATTAATCGTTCGATTATTCTATAGAGCCATTGAAATAGAACAGTACTAACATGTATTAAAAATTATATTTCATTAATCCGCATTCTTTATCATAAATGGGTAATATTTTTCATTCACAATTGGAAATCGAAATTTGAGGTTTTTAATTACATTGGCTGAAAAAGATAGTTTTTAGACAATAATGTATATAAATCTGTGTATTCACACATGAATATATTTATATACAAACACATGTATGTACACATCCGTAGATATATAAATATTATAGGTAGACAGGAAATACTACATTCGATCTGCAATCAACGTGGCGCATAAAAAAAAGAAGAGATTTAAGAAATATTTTACGTTACATTTAAAGCATACTTTTATTCCTAGCACAGTCATCTTTATATATCACATTATAGAATAAATAAATGCATAAATATATATGTATATAAACATATGTATATTTACATATGCGCATCTATTAGATGCACACATAAAAACAAACATAAATGTAATAACGTATACATATTCTACATATACATATATATGCGTGCACACAGTATGTATACATAATCTATGTATACATAATCTATGTATACATATAATTGTTGTTATTTCAAAATTTTATTGCAACATGTTAATATTTTTAATACTTATGGCATTAAACGTAGAAGAGTCTGAGTACTAAATTCTATAAGTATAATTTGCTTAAAAATATTTATTTAAATTTTAAAATTATTCTTAATTATTAATAAAATATTAATAACGTTCATATATATGACGAAAAATCTATAAATTGTTGCATGTTTTTATTGAAATATAACGCATAACATGGAGCAATAGCTAATACAACATATATTCCCGAAATATTATTTATACACTTAAGTATTTGAGTGCAGACACAAAAATAAATTAGGGCGCCAATGTACAATCTGTACACTGTTAAGCACACCACAATATTTTACAATGATCTTACAGCATCAGCAATCTTTTGGCGTATTTTTTTAGTTAGAAAGCTGAAGCTCCACACTGGCCTTGAACTTGCGCACGCGGCTTAGTTATTTTGCAAAATTAATAGAGTACGTGGGGAAATTTTGGCTATTTTCGTTTTAGTTATAACAACAACAACAACAACAACGATAATAATAATAATAATAATAATAATAATAATAATAATAATAATAATAATAACAATAATAATAATAATAACAATAACAATAATAATAATAATAATAGTAATAATAATAATGAATAAATAATAATAATAATAATAATAATAATAAATAAATAATAATGAATAAATAATGAATAAATAATAATGATAATAATAACAGTAATTATTATAGTACGAAATAAAACAAACAAATCCATAAGCAATTGTTTAAACGTAATATGTCATGTAATTATCTCCATTTTAATGGAACACATAAAGCTTTTATGCATTAATGATTCTTATATATATATTTATTGTATAAGATGATATATTTAACGATCAATTTCATATATATTTTATATGATCATGTTAATTTGAAAGAATAAAAACTTTTTTTTTTTGCAGAAAATGCAGCTTTCCGAAAGCCAGCGTGCGCGCAAAAGTGAAATATCGTTGGCCTCATAATAAGAAAACAAATATTCTTGCTCCATCTCACGTCTTGTCATAGGAGCAATTTCTTCGTGAGTCTTTCATGAGCTCTTTCTTAAATAAAATTAAAAATAAAAAATAAAAAAAAAACAAGTAAAGAAAAAAATTCGAAAAGGGAAAATGCTACTAGAGAAGGAAAGTAGTACACATGACTGGCACACAACCCACATAAACGTTATATACGTATACAACGTGGCTAACATACTTAATCTATATATGTCTCCAAAGGCATATGTATATAAACATATATGCTAGCCAGGGTTCAGATATATAGATTTTTAGATATATAAATAAAAATATGTAGACTATGTAGACATATCCGTTTGTGGAGCGACTGGTGACTTACTCTCATACCCTCCCAGCGCGAAACTCCTCTCAAGGGCCTCAGGGCCCTCAGTGTACGCATCGAACGGAACGCCGGGATGTCAGCAACTCCGGCCCAGATGGCAGCCAAGTTGATCAGCGACAGCTAAGATTTTTCATTTAAAATACGTAAACTTTTTCGTTTGCTTAGTAGGAACTGCAAATTCTGTAAGTTCTTCAAATTTTCACTTATCCATTATGATTCTTGTCATTAAGAACTCTTCGCTATCTCGACTACATACATATACACAAACACAAGCGCGCGCACACATAGAAATTGGTTCACCGCTTGTTCGTATGGTTTTAGAAATTATTTTCTGATTACGTACACTCATTCAAGTAAACAAATTATTTCCATCGCTTCTATAGTTTTATCCTAGATTCAAGTGAAAGCTCGCAGTACATAAATTCATTGTTAACATATTAGTTATTAAGCTTAATCTATACATAATTTAACTATCTCTCTCTCTCTCTCTCTCTCTCTCTCTCTCTCTCTTTGTTTATCAATATCATTACAAAATGTATATATATATATATATATATATATATATACCGTAAGGTTGAATGTATTTACAGAATATCTAAATTTAATAGTTTTTAAAATAGAAGGAATATTTTAATTATCTAATATGGCTTGTTATCAATTTTAGTCTTAATGCTATTATCATCAATCATAAATTCGTACAGTTTATAAATCATCAATGAATTAAAATTATTGCAATTGTCTCACGAGAATTTGTTTGTTGAATGACTGTACTGTTAACAGTTGAAATTAGTAGATTTGAATTACCTTCTAAAATACAACACAGGACAGTCTTGATATTATTATGCTAGAATTCGATATCTTTTTAAACTGTTGATATTACTATACAATAGATATCTAAATTACTAAATTATTTGTACTTAATATGTTTGAATATAAAATATTTCATTGAAAGTATAATATACGATATGCTCATTATGTAGCAACATTCACTATTATAAAATGGAATTTAAATATTACTTAATACGTTAAAAATGTTATGTTCAAACTTACCATAACGATAATAAAATCAAGCCAACACCAAGCGTTAGTAAAGTATTTCTTGAAGCCTAACGCTAACCACTTGATTAACATTTCGAAGAAGAAAATGACAGTGAAAATTCGATCCATATAATATAATACGTCTTGAAGAATAGGTCTTTGTTGAAGATGAACGTCCTCCAGTGCCTAAAAAAAAATAAAAATATATATATATATATGTGTGTGTGTGTGTGCGTGTGCGTGTGCGTGTGCGTGTGTGTGAATGTGAATGTGAATGTCGTTGCTTTAAATGCGAGAGCTTCCCTATTCTTTAAAAATCTAATATGAATATTTATTAAATGTCTGTGAGTACTTATTTAAGTTTCTTCTTATACATCTATCTATAAAAATTTAATGAACAATGTAATTCAGTCGATTTAAAAAAAATGAATTAACAATAATAGCTTTAATTTTGTTAATTTATAATAAATCTTTGGGAATTATTAATTGCAAAGTAATACATCAATGTTGATAATAATATTATGCTTCTTAACGCATTAAATATAATATTTGCGGATCTGTGAAAATAAATAAATAAAAATCCAAAATCTACATAATTTCGTCAATTAATCTTATCGAATAAACAGTATGATTATATTTAATTTTGGTGACCTGCAGTAAGTGAAACAATATGATACTTACAAGGGCTAAACTACTCATTAGAATCATAAGGATAACGGCAGTTTCAAAGTATTTATTCTCAATGAGTTGAAAGGTCTTGAGTCTTAGGTTCGCCCAACCCTGCCAAAAGGGCGCATCGTCATCTCCAGCGAGGAAAGGGAACTTTTTGTAACAGTTGTCTGGACAACAATCGGCAGGATAGTCTCCATCTAGCTCCTCATCTGTCCTTATTACTTCACCATGTAAATCGCCTTCGGCTTCCTCCTCCTCCTCCTCCTCATCATCATCATCATCCTCCTCCTCCTCTTCCTCCTCCTCCTCGTCTTCTTCTTCGTCATCGAGCTCTAAAGACATAATTTTTAATGTAAGATTAAATAAATTAGATTTAAAACATTTTTATAATTTGCAAATTATGTAAAGCAAAAGATGAAGTATCAATTAAGATTTTACTTAATTATATAAGTTTTATTTTATTTATAAGATGTTAGTTTTCTATTTGCGAAGAAATTGGATTTCATGAATAAATTTACAATGAAAATACCGTAAGTTTAATCAACAGATAATTTTAAATGTAAATAAATTATTTTCATTCGTAAGTCCTTATTATTATTAATTTTATGTTTTAATTATAATAAAAATATCGAGTTTTCCAGAAGTTTTATGGAAATTATTAAACGAACCATCTTCGAGATCCTCCTTACTAGCATCTTTCTTCTCTTCTCCATTTAATGAATCTAAACTGCCTTTATGACTTTCATCCTTAAATGAACGATTTTTATGACTGCCGTACGATTTATTACTATAATAGTATAATAATATATTATTTCTTATTATTGAAATTTCAGTACGTGCTTGTAATAATTTTATAGAAATCTCTAACCTTATTGTGTCATCTTCGTTGTGATTCATGTATTCGTGATCCAATCTGTAGTCTCGATGATTTATTGAATTTACGAGAGCTTTCGTATTATTTATACATAAGTTCCCTTTCATTTTACTTTTCAAGTCTCCTTTAAAAGTAAATCCAAATGAAAATATCAAACAATTCTTTAACTAACGATTAGGAAAATTTGTGAACTTGTATTAAACATATTAAAGGGATGACTAATACGTGTTATAAATCAAACTTCAAATAAGAATAATCAAAACTGAAAAGATATTTTATATTTTATAGGGATGTTGTTATAAATAGTTTAGAAGGAAAAATGAAAATACTAAAAATGTATGAATTACTTTAATAATAGATTTTTAATATAATTATGATCTATTCTAATCGTACGAATATATGGTTTGTTGTAAAACAAAATGAAAAACAAGAAAAAAAGAAGAAAAAAAATTTTTATCACATCATGTGACATATGTGCTTAGAAAGATTAAATTACTAATTTTATAATTTGTATGCCAAATTTTCAAAATCTATCTATAGCTATAAATATTTGCATATAATAAATGCTACAAGGTTTGAACAAATTTATATGCATCCAGATGTACCTGTTGGAATTCATGAATGTGTACTTGGAAACTTACCATGAATCGTAAACTCCATACCATCACCAATAGCAACTTCAAACTGATTGTTGAGTTCTTTGACACTCTTCTTATCTCGATAAGCATCCAACTCACTTTCAGCTAGATCCATATTTATGTCCCGATCAATTCCATCTGAAAAGTTACGTGGATATACGATTTACATTAAATTCATTACAACGAGTTCGCTTCCGTAATATATAATTCTACATTTCCTTTCAAATCTTCAGTCGTGTTTTTTTAAGCGATTCCAAAACTTCGATTCTATTGGGCTATTTAGAAAGTAATATTTTTTCTTACGACTATCGTCCATTGTATTGTGAACAATATGCTTTATTATAAATTATATTATAAGGGTAAATATTAACGGGAGACACTTTAAAACGTATGGAAATTTAAAAATTTTTTAGAAGTCTTTTTTTCTTCCTAACATATTTAAAATAAAATAAAAGGCCTTTTTCATATATTAGACTTATTAGCGAAAAGAAAATAATACTATACAAGCAATGGAAAAGTTGTATAACTAGTATGAAGAGGATGCGTTAACAGAGAGAGAGAGAGAGAGAGAGAGAGAGAGAGAGAGAATCAGTATCAATAATTTCGTTAATTCAAATAGTAACATACATCGGATAGTGAAAGGCTAATAAAACTTTATAATGACAAAGAGACAGCTGAAACAAATCGTCGAATGACAATACAAAAGCTTCTATGAATTAAAATTGACCAAATTTAACCGCTTAAAACCGCTTAAACCGCTTAAATAATTTACTTTTTCATTTAATGCTTACAAAGGAGTTTCGTCTCTTTGTACTTTCATTTGCGATTTACTTCTCAAATTTAAAGAAAAAAAATCTATTCCTAAGACAAAACACAACCAACCATATAAATCAATTATTTAGCATAAATTCTAAATGCAAATGACGAACATTCTTATCATTTCAGCATTAAATAAGTATAATAGATCAAAATAGATAATACAGAACATGTAAACATCAGTGAAATAGATCGAAAATACTTCTTTATATATTTTCCATTTGTTACATAATTAACAACAAAAAATATAAAATACAAAATTTCAAAAAGTTTGTGAAATAAAATTCGTGATCTAATTTATGAACAACAATATAGTTGAGATGACAAATTGTGGAAAACCATATCACTTTCTAAACGACCCAATATTTCATTATCATTGTTTAACCGTGTATGGAAGACAGCGTGTTTGTTTGTTAATTATCAAGTCTCTGTGTGCTATAAAGAAATGTGCAGAAGTACGCACTCGCAATGGAAATTTTTGAAGCGTCAAGCATTTTTTGCAGGCCCGCTTCAAAGTATAGAAATAAACAAATGATAAGACTTCATTAGAAGTGCGACGATATCTAGTCTAAACATGCACACAAAACTGATTCAATATATTTCTTCTCCGTTTATGCTTCAATAAGTAATAGTTTATACTATACCGCAAAATATTAAGATCTTATTTACTATTTTCATATTCCTAAAGTTTATTCATATGCAGATATCATATGAAGAGCATTCTTATTTTATTTTACAGATTAAAAATTTATATTAGGAATATTTTAATAGTACAGAAGATCTAATGTACCTTATTACAAAGTTTTCAGTTCATTCGAATAAATACAATATAATAGCTATTTTGGGTAAATTGTTTTATAAGACATTCAGTTAATATGTATATTATAAAATTACAAATATTTCAGATCTATTGAGTATTTTAAATATCAGCATGCATGATAAATAATTTAAAGAATATGTAACAACAATACTTTTTCTACGGCGTTTCTGTATTGGAATAATTTCTCTAATAATAGTTTTTTTTTTTTTTTTTTTTGTGCCTTTTTTCTGATAATTCGAACATAACAAATTGGTAATATATTACAAAAAACTTTTAAATTTCAAAAATATCAATCGTTTTTGATAATCACGATTTTGAAATATTCCACGATAAATATTGAAGGAAAGCTTTTGTTTTCTTAAAACCTTACAAATAATTACTCTAGCATATCAAAATACTTGATAATTGTAAAAGGAATGACATTCTTATCTTTTAATCACAAAAACTATCAGAATATTATTAGTCGAAGTCCCAGAATTCTAAAACATTTATTTTATATATCAGTTGATTTCACGTATACATTCAATTTAAATAAATGAAACATATACATTGAATAATGATATTGCAATAGGAAACAAAATACCTAAATCATGCAGATTATTTAAATAATATTATTTATGAGATTTTTCTCTAAAAATTCTAAAGTAATTTTTCTTTGTAACATATACTGCACAATATGCGTTTCAGCTTATATTTATAATTACTTATATATATATGTAATTAATATAAGTTTATTGAAGAAATGATTCAATAAATTTGTATTTATAAGCTGTCTTTCTATAAAAGAAAATTAAAACGAATATTTTAGGTAACTTAAAATTATAATTTATATTTGTGGTAATCCAAAGAGATGGTGCATTCTTTGTATTGTGCTTATTTAAAAAGGAAAACTATTTCAGATTAATTGTTAACTATAAATATAATATATTGTTCTACATTTCTCTAGATTATTAGAATTTCTAAAAAGATAAAAGTCTAAATTAAATATAAGTAGGAATATTATTTGGAATGACATCTTTAATTAAATTTTTGTCCAGTTCGTCTTACTTAGAGAATGAATTTTTTATTCTTTAACTTAACCTAAGAATTTGTTTTTTTTTGTTTTTTTTTTGTTTTTTTTTTGTTTTTTTGTTTTTTGATAAAATAATTTTCAAAATACAATTTTCATTATCGATGATTAATACAAGTTTTTAATTGCATAATGATATTTCTTTATTTCAAGAACAGAGCAGAATCAATATCTATTAAATTCTATTAGCTGTAATCGGCTATGTACTACAAATAATCAATATCACAAGATAAAATAAAACATTAAACAAAATAAAATGATTATATTCTGTTTACTACAAATACATTTTATGTATCGAACTACTTATGTTTTAAGCGTTTTATGATTTGAAAAAATCAGTAATCTGCCTTTTATCGCTACTTTATATGCGTATCCAATCAACTAAAAATGCCGAGAGAAAACACGCACACATCTCTATATTTATATATATATATATATATATGTACGTGTATTTGTGCGTGCGTTTGTGTGTGTGTGTGCGCGTGTGTTTATCAAATCACACGAAATAAGTTTTAAAATAAAAATAAATCATATAAACATGCTTGAAAGTACATGCAATTTTATCTTTTATCTGTTTCTCTTATTAATGTATGTGATGCAGATGAATTGTAATGTAGATACACTTTAAAGTAAGTGAATATGTATATATACTTCTGATTGATCGCTCGATGGCCTAAGCATTCTGAGGGCGATGGAAATGTAACAAGAGCGAGTCGTGAGCAACATGGACAGGAGCAATAAAAATGATAAGAACGTAAAACTGATTAACCGATTGCTTAATAATTTGTATTATCGGCTCATAATTTCTCATTCGTTCTCAATCTACAAAAATATATATAAACTAATGGTACAAGAGTAATAATTTAATTTTATTTTTAGTTTGACAGTAGCCAGCTGTATTGAATAAAATTTAAATATTAAGGTAATATGTTTGTAAGGTGATTAAGTGATCAATGCAGTTTATTTCTTGGTTACACTTGAGCGTTACTAATGATTTAAATCTACGAATTTTTCATCGAAAATTGAAAATTCTCAATAATAACATAATAATTAGATTTTCACTTTACTCGATAAAGAGACTTTTCCACCTAAACTACATTTACAACAAAATATATATTTATAATTTTCTCTTTTCAATTGCTTATAATTTTAAAAACTTTAATAATTTAATATGTCTTCTAATCTTTAAATCCTTTATTTGTATATTCTTACACAGAAAAAAAAACTTTCAAATAATAATTATTTTTACGCAGGAATTTGTAGAATTTTTTATTTTAATTTTATGATTTAAGTGGATGAGATGTATCATATACGAAAGGAATAGATTCTGAAATAATTTCTTATTAGTAAAATAATAAAGTTAAATGCAACAAATAATTAAATATAAAATAATAAGTAAAAATTTTAAAAGGATGATGTAAATAAATCATACGATTCATTTCATAGATACGTGAACAAATTACTTATAACTGTATGCGAAGAAAAAATGAAAATAAAATTTGTTAATGACGCGACAATGGAAATTGTCGAATTCACGCGTCACATCTGACCATTAAATATAGTTCAACAATATACAGTTTCAACTAATATACAGTTATGAAAAAATGTTCTTCAAATAAAAAACATACCAAGTAAAATAATAAGTAGGATGACGTAATAAAAATAAAAGGGGAATATGGAAGAAAAAGAAGCAGAAACAATGTCACGAACTACACAGCGCACACAGCAAGCGATCTGATTGGATATAAACCTTCTTTCCAACTGTTGGACGGTCCCTCACCTGGCGCCTGATCGGATATCTGGTTGGTGAATTTTGCTCGCATTATCTTAAAGATATTAAGAATGCTGCGCTTTATCCATCCGATGAAACGGCTTATGCGATCAATAGCTTCTGTAATTTTGTTGGTGTCGTTGTCCGCTGTGGGGGCCGATAGGTTCGAGCTACCGAAATTGCTCAAGAGCAACGCCAAGAAGAGATTTAGAACCTAGACGACAAATTTTATTCTTTTAATATATAAACACGATTAATTAAATGTAAGCTAATGCTTCGTGCTTTGTACTTCGTTCTTAAATATGCATTATTGTCGCGCTAAGTTTCAATAGTCGAATTGTATATTTTCTATTTATGGCATTATTTACAATAAATTAGAAATCATATGCTTTAATTTTCTATTCTAACCAATTGAAATAAACGTTAAGTATTATTTCAAGTTCGAGAAGATAAATATTTATTATAATAATTATAAATAGATCTCAAATATAGATATTATAAACCCTTCCTATACATACAAATATCAAAGAAATAGAAAATATATCATCAATCGTTATAAATCAATTATTCAGTCCAATGTATCCAGTTTGTCTCTCTCCGCGCGCGCGCGCGCGCGTGTGTGTGTGTGTGTGTGTTTTTTTTTTTTATCAAAGGTATAAATTATTAGTTCATTTAACGAATTATATAAATACTCATCACTGGAAATTTATTAAAAATTAGTTTTTACCGAGAAATTAAAAGTATAGTTTTGTTTGCTAATTATTTACCATATGACAAATGGTACGAAGGTATCATCAACACGAAACATATAATAGCGGATCTAGGCAACAAAGAGAAATAAAATCAATACGTACGACCAGGTTACCGATGACAACAGTCGCCAAGAAGAATGGAATGCACGACACGTCACCCACACGCATGCAGTCCCACATAGACTCGATCCATTCGCCGCACAGTACTCGAAATACTATCATAAAAGAGTGCATGAAGTCGGTGAAATTCCACCTGGGTAGTTCGCCGCCCGGGAACCTGTCGACATTGTCCGTGTAGTTCTTGCCGAAGAGCTGCATACCCATCACGGCAAAAATGAAGATGATAATACACAAGACGAAGGTTAGATTACCCAAAGCACCCACGGTTCTGCCCATGATTGAAATTAGCAAATTCAGGGTTGGCCACGATTTTGCCAATTTGAATACTCGAAGCTGTCGAGAGAAAGTTATTTAGATCTGCATCCCTTCATTTACGATAAGCATATTTTACATTTTAAAATGTATTTCATCTTATGTAGACAAATTTTCTAAGCCCAGTCATTATGCTAACTCATTACATATCGTCACATCCTGTGTCATAGATAATGCTTTTCAAGTGGTCTTTATGCGGCCATATTAATCAATAAGACACAAATTATTAAAACTCTTACTTCCCGTATGTTGCACATAATTTATGGTCACATTTTTTTTTTTCTTCACATTTCAACATCTAGAATGACGCCTAAAGACTTGTAAGGCAATTCTCATTTTCAGGAATTTTAACGTATGCAAAAGTATTTTGAAAATTTTATTTTTAAGGCTCTCTATTGATCAACGAGCTAACTAACCACCATTTGCTTATAAATATGCCTTCATCGCAATGTATAAACCGAATGTAGAGAGCGAATTTAAGTATTTAAAAATAAATAGCATTTTTCATTAACAGGTGACTATTGTAATTAATTATTTTAATTTACCAGTCGGAAGGATCTCAAAACGGATAAGCCCTGAACGCCCTCAAGACCAAGTTCTAGTAATGATAGGGCCACGATGATGAAATCGAAAATATTCCAGCCTTCTTGAAAGTAATATTTGGGACTCATAGCTATGAGCTTCATCGTCGCTTCAATGCCGAATGTTGCTGTGAAAAACTGCAAAAAAATAATAATTCAGCTAAATAAATACTCCTTTACTACATTAATAAATGAAAATAATAAATCCATAAAACATATAATAAATCTATGCGATATAATCAATGTAAGATGCTTTTTTATTGTCTCTAAACAGCTAAAAAACAATTCACTCTGAAAAACAACCTTGTGCTCGTATTGTAACGAAGTATAGTATATACGAGTTTACGAAATATTTAAATAAATAAAACATTTAATATAAAGCGTTTGCTTGTTTAATTGGCATGGACCGTGAATTAGAACGGGGAATTATTCAACTTTAAACAATTATTATATTATATAGCGTTAATTTGTATTTAATTTGAGAAGGATAATAAAAATTTATTGTAATATTTATTAGAATATTTTTACAATTTTATTGATGTACGAACAAAAAACTACCACTAGCTAAAATACTTTGTTAAATCGAACAACTTTTGAAGAAAAGCAATTGAATTTTATATAGTTAAGAGAAATAAATAAAGTCTAGCTATATCATTTATTAACAAAAACAAAGAAATAATTCATTAATATTTAAATGTAATTCTTTTCTAAATATTATTATTTTTTTATGCTCTGAAAATGATCGACAAATCGATTAAAAACGAAATTCCGAAATAAATTTTGAATTAATGTTATGATTGAATATTATAAACATCGAATAGTAAATTATTTTTAATTAATTTTGTGTGGCGAAAGAAAGTTCAATTTTTCTTATTGTTGAAACAAACACTTCTTTCCGTACAATGTTATGTTTTGTGAGTCAAAAACTCTCTTTGATAAGCCTATATTGATAAGCCCTTAAAATATAGGACAAAAAGCACGAGTTGAACAAAAGAAAAAAAATAGCGCGTGAAGGAGTGCCGGGGAGAGAGATTGAGAGAGTCAATGAACAAAAGATAATGAAAGCGAGGTCGAGTTGCTTACTCTTCCGTGAATGCTTACATAGTTTCCAGACTTGAGAACCCTCTCCATCTCCTTGTCCATGTCGTGGTGATCCAGGGCCATGAAGAGTGTGTTGACGACGATGCAGAGTGTGATGAAGAGCTCGACAAACGGATCGAAGACCAGCAGAGCAACGTACTTTTGGAATGTCAGCCAAACAGAACAACAATCCCAAACACAAAATATATCGATGCAACGTAAAAACAAGGCCAGGGCCTTCTCCTTGAATGTAGGACCTTCTTCATCGTCGTCTAAAGGAAAGTAATAAATCGAAACTGTATTCTACGTGTTAGTAAGCTCACGAATGTACCATTCTTTTTTTGGGGAAACGAGTTTTTAAGGTCGAATGTTGTTTCATGACTTCATTCTATTTTTTTACTTTATTATTAATATTGTTTATATTTCAATGAGAAAGGTAGTTGGGAACGATGTGGGCGTGTATTGAGGGGAAAAAAACGAAGAAATGGAAAAAGTCGAGGAAATTGATTTTTAGATATTGAAGAAATGATAAATTGACCGTGCGAGGATGTTTCTTTGAAAAAAATAAAATTTCCTTTTTATTGACGTATATATTTCGATGATAATTGTCATATTAAATGATAAAACCATACTATTCCTTATAACATTTAAAAATCATACGAATTATATTATGAATTTGAGCTAAATTAATTGCAGGAAATTTATAAAATCTGCATTACTACATCTATTAATATGAATAAATTTTTGTTTATCGTTTGCCTGATATATTTCAATAATAAACATTGTAAAATAAATATTATGATCCGACATGTTAAATAATATATTATTCTTCAAAAAAAAAACACTTTAGAATTATTGTTCTAATGATTTATTGTTATTTGCTATTTGTATAATGAATTGGCATTTTATGCATAATAGACATACGTATATAAATTAAAAAAATTTATTCGTATGTTTTATTTACCCTATAATTAAATTTATTCACGCTATAATTAAAAATATAATTTTATTACAAAGGATCTTTGCCTATTAAATCAGCTTTAAAAATAAAGATACGTATCTAAGTAAGCGGACAAATGTTATATTATGTAAAATTAATTAAATTAATTAAAAAGCAATGAAAAAATATCAATTTTGAACAAGATGTGGTATTCTGCACAAATATTCCAATTATTTTAATATTTTGAAATGAATGGGGCACAACGTAATACAAGCATATCTGTATATGGAAAAATGGGCAGTATTAAAATTATTTAATAAAAAAAATTAATAATAAAAAATACATAAATCATGTTTCTATACATATAAATAGTTTAATATTTGGGAGATCTATCATGTCTTTTGTCAAATTTGAAAAAGATATAGAGGGAGATAAAGTGAAGAGAAGGGAGAGAGAAATGAAATTGTCATATCATAATGAAGTTGTATTGTACAGGGAAATAACTCGATTTTCCCCAAAAAATCAAATATCTACGTTTATATAGTAGTGTGCATATATAAACATACATATATATATATATATATATATATATATATATGAATATAAATTAAATATTTTCATTAGAATTTTCATTACGATAGTAATAATGTATATTGACATAGTGATAAATGTTTCAATAATATATTATGAATATTATATTCTTTTAGGTAGAAGACAAGAAACAAAAATCGTTATCATCAATAACGTTAATAATACAGAAAACTAATATCTAATGTGAAGAAAAATTAATAATCTATTCGATTTTTTTTTTTTTTTTTTTAATTTTCTATTACGTTGTTTGAAATGTTTGTCACAAATTATAATCACAAATAATAATGCTATATGTTAGAAGTAAAAAATATGCATTACCATTCATAATGAATATTTAAATACTTGTACGGATAAATGTATATAATCGTGCGTTTAATTATTCGATGGTGAGCATTAAAAAAAATTCCTTTCCGACGTATTGCACGTCAAAGCGGTAAGAGACAAAAATTTACATTTAGAATTTCGATCATAATTCACGAAGGTTTATAGCTCGTTTAACGACAACTTATCCAATAAAAAGCAATAGAAGTAAACATTGAAAATGGGAAGTCGTGACATGCGTGACATATATAAGTCGAATTTCCGATGAATATCGAGGATCTCTAGGGAAATGATCGAATTTACCTCCTTGTTCGGATGTCCGACTTTGCCGACCAGCAGCTTGTTCGATAATGTCATTCAACACCATAACATCTGTAGCAGATAAAAGTGTCATTATTCACATGACCGATCTTTTAAATTCGAAGGCTATATACCGAGGATCCTGGGACAGGGAAGTAAGCGTACCTTTCATGTCAACGACAGCGTGTTGCTGAGAGGGTTCTATAAATGGATTGTCCTGTTGCTTCGTCTTGCCGAATGAATCGTCGGCATCGCCTTCCTGCGTGCAAACAAGGATGAAATTACTACCGGCCGCGCTTCCGCGGTGTCGCCGAAGCACCGAAGGTCAAGCCCCCGGTAAAATTAAATCGGCGACCGATCGATTAATCGCGAATGAAAAAAGGCAGCCTCTATACTGACGTAATGGTGCTTCTGCAGGCTATCGGGGGCGAGATGTCCGTTGACGGAGGGCGGCCTCGCGGATCTGCTGCGCAGCTTACTCTCCTTGGTCATACCGCCGAGGAGATCGCCATGGGATGTGTAGGAGAGCCGGGATGCGTGGGAGGTGTAGGAGGAGTGTCGAGAGCCGAGGCTCGCGTAGTAGACAGGGACGACGATCGCGCCGTTCTCCTCGGACATGGGCGTCACGGCGTTCGAGTCGTCTGCGTAGGGCAGGTGCTCCTGGGCGTCGAGGTACGTCGAGAGGACGAGGGGCTTACGGTCGCCTCCTGGGGTCCCGACAAAGCGCCCACGGCCATTACGGATGGTGAATTGATGGCTGCCACGGCTACCACGGCGTAAATTAAACGGCGAGCCCGGTAGACTGAGACTTGCCTGCGAACATCAAGTGCTCTTGGGCCTCTCATTTTCCTCGACTGCCCTCCTGGCCCAGGACTTTGGACGCTCAACCCCTCTGCCACTTAGGCAGCGCAAGTTGGCTTCTCCTGGCCAGGAGAGCGGCTCCTTTACATCTCCGTTCGTGCAACTTGCAATCTCCTCTCATTGTATTTTCTGCGGTCCTTGTGAGTTACGAGTTTCTTAAATGCTTAAGGATCCTCGAGGCTCTCGGATATTTCGGTCTCAAATTGTTTTAATTATTTCGAGAGGATGCTCGATAGATGTCGTGCAAAAACCGTGCGATTAAAAGCTTCGGAATATTATGTATTATTTAGTGACCAACTATTTGTGTTTTTTGTGTACTTTCAACCGTTTATAGTTTAAGTAACTTTTACGTCTGCACTTATTAATTTAAGAAACTCCAATGGATTTGCAAACTAATAATTCCATTCCAATGTCCGAAATAATAGTATTTTACTTTGAAAATGTCGGAATCATTTGATAATTCATTCGCATCATTAGCAAGTGATCAAGTGAATGAATGACAAAAATTTATAACACTATAGTATTGCATCATGCTAATATTACATAATTAAATGGATGAATTTTTAAATGATTCATAATATAATGAAATACGTAATAAAATTGTATATGCAAAATAAAAGAAATTTTCAATTTTTTTTTTCTTTTTTGTTTCTTTTTTTTTTTTTTATTATATCCATTTATCTGTATAATAAATTACATGAAATGGAAATGTGATATGAAAATGGAATGCTGTTGGGAAAAAAGTTGTTTAATGAAAAAGCAATGTCTGAATGAATTCAATGATAATCCAATAATTATTTGCTAGTTTTTCAGTTTTCATATATTCCAATATCAATAAGTGAAGAAAGTCACTTTTGTTAATGGTTTTCATTATAACAAATTTTTTCGTCAAATAATCACCATTTAATATGATAGAATTTTGCTTATCAAATCAAAAATGCTTAGCTTCCTTACATATGACTTTATAACAAACATTAAATTATTGACTTTTATAATATACAAATTTCTATATAATAATGTCTGTAGTAAATTCAATCAATCGTTAAAATCGTAATGGATACATTTAGAAATTTTATAAAATTAATAAATATGAAATAATACTTGTTTTACATATCTACATACATTTTTTTTTAAAGACTTATATTAATTAGTACTAATTTGAATATAAATATAATTTTTTTTTGTTTCGAATAATACTGAATATTACTGAAAATTAAAAAAACTTGTATAAGAATAGATTTTGACCAATTTTATATAATAATAACAATAAATAAATAAATAAATAAATAAATAAAATGTTTATATATGTAGCCACCTAGTTTTTATCTCAATAAGATTAATAAATGATAATAAAAATATTAAAAAATTTAAATACTATACTTTTAGAAATCATTTAATATACGATAAAGGAAAAGGTTAAACTCCATTTAATTTTTAGCAAATCATATTGTATTATTTGTCATTATTTTGAAATTAAGTTGAAAAATGATTAAATGAATATAAATATAAATTTATGTATGATATTTTAAGATATTTATACACCATTTTTATAATATTCAATTACTATCTATCTATTCTATCTATTCTAGCTATCTGCACTATCTATTATCACACTTCTAATAAAAGAATTGTTAATTTAAAATTTAAAATGCTTACTTAGCATATAATTGTCAATATGTTAATACCACGAGGCAGCTGATGTGTAATTTTTTTTTTTTTTTTTTTGAAGAAGAAGAAGAAGAAGAATTTCGATAGAAACAAATAGAAAAATTGATATTAGCAATTCATCCTTGATTAAGAAAACCATTAGGTTTTGTAATCTTTCACAAATTTCAATTCCAATCGAATTTCTCGACTATCATAGCCTCAGCTCGAATATTGATAAGAGATAAGAGTTTAAGCAATTAAAGTGGCTTTAGAGCCGATTTTGAATGTACTATATAATAATAACACAGATTACCTTATTTGAATGACATGTAAATAATACAGGTGCTCCTCTATAATACTTTAACAAATCTAATTTAACGATTTTTCACATTGAAAGCCTAATTAATACCTACGAGATGTCTTGATTGGTGAAATGACAATAAACATAAAAATATTTTCGTCATCACCTCAACAATTTTTTTTCTGAAACTATATAATGTCTACTTATATGAAAAATAATATTATCATGGTGAATATGCTGTCTAGATTGGATTATCTATTTAATATTATAATTATGATAACGACATTATTTCTACAAAAGCATTAGTATAAATCGATAAAATACAATAATAAGATATAAGACAAATTATTTATTAATAATTTATTGAATGGTAAATTGGAAATGTATATAAATTAACGTATAATCTGATTGCTGATGAGCAACATAATTATGAGCATCAAATAATAGATGAAATGGGGCACTATTAACAATTGAAAGGTTGTTGTTATTAGAGGCTTTTTCCTTAAACAGTCAGATTTGATTTGTGTTTCGGTAATTAAAACTCCTTGCTTACGAGAAAAGTTCTAAAAGAAAAAATATCATGCAAGTAGATTGAGTAAGTAAAAAATGATGTTCGGACAACCATACAAACATCGTACTAGACAACTCCAGAATCAATTAAGTATTGTTTTACCAAAAATGTGCAAAGATATTTGAAATTAACTTTATAATTAAAAATCTTAATAATTTATATACATTGCTGAGGAATTACTAGAAGATTAGAAGAGATAATGGACAGAAAATTTGATACGATGAATTAAATTGGAAAGATTTTAATTTAACATAACATGTCGATGAAACGGATACTTTATTAATTAAAGGTATAACAATTATTAGCTCGGTAATACAATGTAGGAAAGTTTGCTTAATATTTCGTCGTATTTTATACTGATAACGTCAAATTTTCACGTAAATCCAACCTAATATTTCGAATGTATATACAAGTATATTTGTATTGATTAATTAATATAATTGAGGTATAGAATTTTTATAATCTTTAAATAAATACAAATTTTGAAAATATATATTACAATAAAGGAAAATATAAATTATTAACCTATCATTCGTAAGTTATGTTTAGTTTAATACTTATTGCTAAAATATTAATGAAGCTATTAATAAAAATCTCAAAATTTCTATTCAAACGTTGAAATTTAACGAATAACATTTGATTTTTAATTTCTTTTAAAATTATATCATATTTAAATATATGGTCAAGAAGGATAAAGTTAAGTATTACTAATACATACTCAATTTATTCCACGTACCTCTCTTAGACTTTCCTGGTAGGCATAAGTAAACTGGCCATTACCGGCGCGAGCGACCTTAAGAAAAAAAAAGACAAGAAGAAAAACACTTCCTACCAGATTTTCTAAAAAACTCTTTTTGATTTTACATAATCTCCTTTTCTTCAAAATAGCAACCAGTAAAATACAGACACAACATCCGGCAAAAGCATTACACAAATAAGTTCAACGATACGGATCAGCAAGAATTCTAATAATCGATGCTTATTGAATAATTAATTAAAAAATATATTAGAGATGGAAATAAAAAATAAATTATATTTATTGATACCAAATTAAGTTGAAGATATATATATATATATAGAGAGAGAGAGAGAGAGAGAGCAAAGACAAATGATTAATTAAAAACTATGTTTTAATAATATTGTTGTGTGGTAAGTGTCGTTACAATCATACCATACAGAACACAACAAATACATGCAAACAAAAGGCATCTTTTAACAGTAATTTCTAAATGATTTTCTTTCAATTTTATACACATCAAATAGTAATACAAATCAAAAAGTCGCTTTAATGCAATTTCATATCAAATCCATGAAAACGTTGAGCCGTTATTAACTGCAAGTGATTTGTGATATAACTTGCAATTACATTATTTATAAACTAAATTATGATAATAATGTAAACTTAGTTATTGATTAAAACGAAAAAATGATATATAATTTATGTATATGAATGATAATAATGTCAACTGGATATAGTTATTTGCATATATAATATGTAGGTTATTTAATATTTCTAACACTTGATTTTAGAATTCAGATAAAACTTTAAAGGGTACTAATTTATAATATACATGTATAGTTTGGATGAAATTTGTTTTTAACTAAATAAGCCCTTATTTTAAAGAACATGGTTAAAAACTTTTCTTTTTTCTTTTTTCAAAACTTATGTACATTGTTAAAATAGCACATATAGTGTATTTCATTAATTATCGATTATAAATAAATAACAATAATTTATTGAAATTGTAATTGTTCCAACCGTCAATGAGTCGTAAGAAAATATAAGAAAATATACAAGGAGTTTAATGTAAATTTATATATTCGTTTACGGCAGCTATCGTAACAGATTAAAACTAAATCACAAACTTTTCTATGGTAATTAAAAATGTGATAATGCAGCTTTATTCAACGCGCGCGCACACGCACGCACACACACACGCGCACGCACATACACAACACACTCGCGCGCGCGCGCGAAATATCTATAGAAACCAAAACAAGCATTTTAAAGGCTCGTCTCTCCTCGCCCCTCCCCGTCACGATTAAAAGACAGTCGTATTAGAAACTCAAAGTAGATAATAATAAAGCCAATGAAGGCTGTTTCGTAATTTCGATGAAGTTTCGATTAAAATTAATAAGAAAAAAAAAAATGAAAACCCTTGAAAACAATGAACCGCTGTATGATAAATCCGAAGGACTATCATTGAAAGTGCTTATCTGCTTCATGTATCAATCATTTATTCCGTAATGATCATTGCTTTGCGGACTGACCCAGAAAAGTTCCTCGAATAGCAAATCTACATTTGACTAATGCCATAACCATTCGGAAATACGTATCGAGCTTGCCTCCACGACAGCCTTCGTAGTTTCGAGGCACTTGGCAGTAAACAATGCGGCCAGAGACCATAAGAAAATGAATCGCAAACGAAGTGTAAAAAAAAAAAAAATATAGGAAGTTAGGGCAGCTGCTAATAACCATGCGATCGATCCGCGCTTCCACACTGCCACAACAACGCGCAACAGCGGCTGTACATGAGATGCTAATTTACCTATGCGGGCCTGTTTGCATGCATTGCGAATTGCACGTTTTTTAGCATGCAAAAACGCGTACTATCGTCCCCCCCCCTTATTACTCAAGCACATGAGATATTCCAGATGAAGTAGCTCGGGTAAATTGCGAAGAGCTGTGCTAAGATATGAAAGTGCTGGGCTTTTTGGCAATAGTAAATGATGTTGCGGTTGTATGAGAAATTGTTAGAAGGAAATTTAAGATTTCTCAGTGAGTGTAATTGTGTATGAAAAAAGAATTTGTAAAATGCAGGTCAAGACAAATATTTTACAAGGGAGAACGATGTCAATAGGGTGGTTGGGAAGGGGCGGCGAGGATGACGAAGGATGACGAGGTGATTTTGTAGAAATACCAATATGTATTTTTTGAATGTCCACATTACAGAAATTTAAAGAGAAATAAAATAATAACAATTTCATTAGGAAATGTGCATATTTTGTGATTATAAATATTTAGATTAACTAGTGGAATATATTTTCATGAATATTCACAGATTTTAATAAATTAAGAGGTCATTATGTACATCATACATTTTTATTCAATTAATTTCACGAAAAATATTTTGTTTCTATGAAAAAAAGTTTAATTTAAACATACTTTACTATTTACTATTACATTTACTATTTTAATGATCATTGTCATAATTAAATTTCATTAATAACCATAGAATATTCTATCATTTAATATTTAATTATTAATTATTTTTATCTTCGGCTTATTTATTATTAAACTATTTATAGAATATTTATATTCTTTTACGATAATGACATGTCGAAATATACAATATTCGTATAAGTAAACTAATGGGTAATTAATTTATATTACGTTCAATCGAAGTTGCGTTATGATCAAACGCGGGATTTTACTTTCTATTTTTCACAAGATTTACGTACATAATTTGTCCATTAATTAATTTTATTACTTTTGTTTATGGGGGTTTTTTTTTTGTTTTTTTTTTTATTTATTTCAAGTATGCATTTAATTTGTTAAATTAAATAGCCCAGGTCTATTATAGTATATTTGTATGTTATTCTTATAATAGATTAATTTGACCTAAAGACTATTAAAATTAATTCATAATAAATTATGAAATGAAATGAAATAATTAATTAATAAAAAATTAATTCAATTCGTAGATGTGATTTAGTAATTTATACATAATATAATGCAATCATATAATTGTTGTAATGTCTACGATGCTGGGACTTCTAATTATATTTTGAATTTCTTATCTCTTGTTACAGTTATTGCCATTACAACTCTCTTAAAAAATTATAATTCGAAACTAATTTCATGTCGATGTAAATAATTTTTATATAAGAAAAATTTCACTATTTTACATAGTCTCCACTGAATCCATTTGTATTGTGAATTAATGGGCAAAATCCACGCCACGTTCATGGAAATATGTGTCAGTCCATTTTAAGTTGCTGCACTGGCAGGATTAAAATAAAAATAAGACTTAATAGTATTTTGATAATGCCACATCCTGGTAGAGAAAATAAGATAATACAAGTAGCGGGAGAGCACGTCAGAACTTTTGATTTTTTCATCTTTACGATTAAATGCATGTCAAGAAATTTGTCATTTTCATCTTCATTTTTTTACTTATATAATTATTCAAAATAATTGTATTTTACAAAGAATAATTGAAATATAATCTTTCTATATATCGTGTTAAAATATATTTTTAATGCTATTTTCATTTTATTAAACATCGTAGATTATTATACATTAGTGTATTTCTTATTAATTTGAAATTGTAATTGCAATAATTAATATTATTTATAAAATTCAAATGAAAGTTTTATAATAAATTATGTATAATGTAAGAAAGAAAGAAAGTGTAAGGAAGAATTTAATTGTATACTATATCTTTATTTCTTTGATTTAACTTATTTTAAATAAATGAAGAAATTCACTATTTTAAAATTTACTTTCTCATTAAAATCTCATAATAGAACATTTTAGGCAGTGCTAAGCTACGGAAAATACCCAACGGAATGAATATCCAAGTAAACCTTACTAATGATATGAATATCTCTGACCAACATTTTATATATGTACATATAAGCAAATAAAATTAAAATTTAATTAATGACATAAGAAAATGAATTAAAATAAATAAATAAGTGATAAGGATATTGATATGGAGAATCAGATAAAGAATAGACAGATTGATAAATGCGTACGTGCGTTCATTCGGGTGTGCATGCGTGGGTGCGTGGGTGCGTGGGTGCGTGGGTGCGTGCGTGCGCGCGCGCGCTATTGTTGGCGAATGGATGGGTGAGGATAATAAGAAATAATGAAAATGAAAGAGAGAGAGAGAGAGAGAGAGAGAGAGAGAGAGAGAGAGAGAGAGAGAGAGAGAGAGAGAGAGAGAGAGAGAGAGAGAGAGAGAGAGAGAGAGAGAGAGAGAGCAAGAGAAAAAATTAGAAATAGATGAGATGAGGTAAGAAAAGTCATGCGACTCTTAGAACTTACGGCGCTGACTTTGCGAACTTTAGTGGTAGTTGAGTTGACGTTGTGATTATTGCTCGATATCTTGACCCTGTGCTCGCTAATCGATTCGACCGACCTTATGCTCATGCGCTCTTTATTGTTGTCATCGTTTCCTTTCTCTTGTCCGACAAACAGCTCATAACTATGACAGGAATAATCCGAGGGTGACTTGAGAATTTGATCAGCAGCAGCGGCCGCTGCAGCCGCCTCTCGAGCCTCCGCTTGAGCCGCCAATTTGTTCTCTTTCGCTAAAGCCGCTTCCTCCGCTTCCTATTATCGGAAATCGGATACTTTGCATATTGATCTATTACGATTTCCCATGACAGCACGCTATGTAAATCTTTGAAATATTTATAGGAAAGCTAGATTCAACGGCTGCGTTTAATGCTTCATTATATGAATTACACGGAGATTATCCCGAGATTCATACTTCTCATTTGTCTCCAATACCCCCCCCGCTTACAACTAAATTATTGATCATTGTGTTTAAATAACTACCACAAATATTCATAAAAGCAAATTAAACTTTTGGTAACAGGATTTATAATAAAATTAGTAACGCAATGTTTTTAAATTTGCGTTAATTTTCAACGGTAAATGCATTCGAGCATATAATAATTATTATTATTATCATAGATTTGTTATTTTCAATACATTTAAGCACGTAAGATAAAATGTATAAAATGTTAGTATAAAATTTAGTTGCATACCCTTATTGCTTGTTCTTCGGCAAGCTCTTCCTCTTCAGCCTTCTTCTGCAATTCATCATACGACATCGCAACAATGGCAAGGATCAAGTTCACGAGATAAAATGAGCCAAGAAAAATAATAACAATGAAAAATAACATGTGCCACGGGCCAGCCGATCTCAGAACCAGCTGATAAAGATTTTCCCAATAGTCTTGGGTCATCAGACGAAATGCGGAAAGCAAAGCCCAACCAAATGTATCGAAACTCGTATAGCCGTAGTTCGGATTCTCCCCATAACCTTGTAAACACGTATACCCCGGTGGACATTGTCTATAAACAAAAGAAATTAATAAACGAATAATTTACTTTTTAAGACACACAGATCTTTTATTATTTATTCTATTATTTAGACTCGATTTTTAAATTTATCAATATTTGTTATCATATGAATAAACTGCGGTCTTTCATATAGTAATACAGACACTCGCTCAACATGCACAATGTTATTTCAATTGTATTTTCATTGTTCAACTAGCAGCCATTTAATACAATTTTATTATTAATTCACCTCGTCCAAGTCACTCGATATAAATCTGTTCTCTTTTAATTCTTCAAAGCTTAATGAAACATTTTCTTCATACATTATATATAACTTCATTTTAATAGTATGTTGAAAAAATAACTGTAAATTATTTTTTTAAACAAAAAGATCCTCGTAAAACTTTTTATTTATAATAAGAGGGTAGACTTCGGCTTGCCTACTTAAATATGTAAGTTGTCCCATTTATAAATAATTTACCTTGGATTTAAACCTTTCTCCAGAATTAGTAAATAGTGATGAAAATTATTTTTAAATTATAATAGTGCCTATATAATAGTCATAAATATAATCATTGAAATAATTCTATTCATAGTCAATTCTATACTTTATTCAATGACTCTAACTATCGATGGTAAATGAAAAGTATAATGTTTAGATATATATGTTTGGAGTCTAAATAAATGAGTTTTCGTGAAAAAAAAAAAAAAAAAAAAAAAAAAAAAAAAAAAAAAAACAAAAAAAAAACGGAAAAGGAAATCAAAGCAGTAAGTATTGAATTTATTGACTTATTTGGTTATGTTCAAAGCGCTTTATCCAAAGAAAAAGCCTATTCAATGAAACATTATCAAATTATATTTAAGGGAGTGCAGTTTACAATATATTTCATATCAATAATGCCTTAATTTCGTTGGTATTATCGGTATAAAATTCCTAAAAGTAGTCTGGAATTTATATTTAAATTCGTATTGGTACATATTTTCAGTATACATATAAACTGTATTAGTATATGTGTTCAAATAGTTAAGCTTATTCTTATAATGAGGTTAGTAGACATTGATCTGAATAGTAAACATTTTGTGTTCGTATGAATATCACGCTGTTGGTATATAAATTATTTTATGATGCCGTTATTAAAACGATAACCAAAGTATACTGGGAGAATGTATAATGATATTAAAATAAATCAAAAGTCTATTAAATAAAATTTAAAAAAAAAGTCTGAACGAAAAGAAAAGAAAAGCTTTACTATTGAAATGAAATTTTTAGTAAAGTAGTATTGAAAAAATTCTATATGAAATACTGGAATAAAGGACTTGATAGTTTATCAAATATAATAATAATACTTTATATAACACTGGTCACAGACTATTTAAAAAAATTTAAATATTAGCTTATGAACAAATCTTAAAAGCAATTATTCTATTATAAATATAATTCGAACATAAACTACATTAAACCATAAAATTTTAATCATAAATAATAATTTTCTTTACCGATGAATATCGTAAGTGAATTTACTATCGCTAAATTTACTATGTATAAATGGAAGAGTTACGAGTATGATAAATCAAGTATTTATTGACAAATGATGCAAGAAAGTTGTTCTTGTACATTAGAATAGCATAAAAACATAAAAATCAGTATATTAATTATATTATCACAACATAAGAATCTTAAGAAAAATCTGATATCGATAGGTAAATATTGCAAATTAAACCTTAACATTTCATATATTTGAATATTAAATTAATTAGTTTTAAAATTTTAAATACCTTTTCTCACAACTCCATATTTCAAAATTGATACGTATAATACTATAAAAAAAAAAAAAATCTGATTCCAAGATTAATATGCTTAAAACAATAGACTATAGGCAAGGTATAATAAATATTCGATCGTTGGAAGGCTTTGTAAATTATAAATCGTGATATTTTAAAATTAATTAATATAAAATTTTAGTTATAAGTGCTTTTACAGTACTAGCTTTTCTTTCAATGTTTACTCACTGCAAAATTATTTCTCATAATTAATATAATTATTACATTTTTATATATGCCTACGGCATAACTATTTTATAATAATTATTATAAATAAGGAACGGAAAATCTTACCCAGCTCCAGATGAATTCCCACATAATGGATAATTTCCGGCTTCATCCATACCATACCAATTTGCTACAGGTAAATACAAGATTATATTTCAATTTGAAAATATGATTTTTTTGAATGTTTATAAATAAAAATAAAATAATTTATAGCTTAATTAACATACAATATTCATGAGAGCATAGAGTTAAGCTTGAGTTTGGCGAATAGAGATAATATAAGAATTATAAAGCTAAATTTTATATTGAACGTAGTTATTTTTTCGAAATAATAAAAATTATCCAATTCATGTACAATTAGTTTATTTTCTTTGCATGTATTGAGCAAAATAAGCAAAGTGAGCACAAGGTCGATTCATAACTTTAAATTGAAAAGTGAGGTACTTACTATCATTACTAACAAATCTCTCCCAATTATCATCAGTGAGGTTTCCCCATGAACCGTCGTCGGGAAAATTCTTTATACACTTTTGCGTCAGTACACCCATGTAAATCTGAAGGCCCATCAGCGCGAATACGGAAAGGGAGAACATTGTTAGGATTATCACATCGCGTAGATTTTTCACTGACTCTATCACAGCACCGACAATAGTTTTAAGACCTTAAACAGATTTAGATCAACATGATTAAATGCTGATGCTATCATTTCAATCGAAAATTCATTCATTCTGTCTTTTGTTACAAGGGACAAATGAAATAGTTACATTTTGCATAAGACCTGACTATTTAAATGCATAATTTATTATATATGTGTCGGAGGATTTCATTTTTCATAAAAAATTAAGACACAAAATTAAAATATATATCTCGAATAGTGATTAAAATATGATTTTTTACGAATGATTACAGACAAATATAATTTTCACTGTAAATTGTACTTAACAAATTAGATTGTCTCTATAATTGTATTTTTCATTCTTTTAAATATCAAAATATAATCATATTTGTTAATATATACCATTGTCATTAAACAGTAATATTTTCAGAAAAATTAAAAATGAAGTTATAGTTTCAACATATTGTACAAGAATTATTTTGCTACAATAATTACATTAATAAATTGTTATATACTTGAATGATTTTAATTGATTAATGAATAAGAATTGATGGAATACGAACAGAAAAATTAATGTCCTATATAGCGATGCGATAAAAGTATATATATATATATATGTATTAGTGAAAATTAAAAATGCATAATAATATCTGAAATATCATTAAAAGTACTATTTAATATTTAGTTGAATTTTGAAATCTCGAAAGAAAATTTAAAATATTTTAAAAACATTTTCACAATATGATTTATGACAATAGTGTAATTAAAACAAAAATATAGTATACAAACCTCAATGCATCGACCACAGTTATATAAATATATTATTACCATTGTGAAATGTTTCTGTATAATCCTAACAAAAGTAAAGTTGGTTGAATGCAACGAATTCGTGAAATCAGTGTTTTAGCTAAATGAGTATACATTTCAGAACTATGCAAAAATATACAAATTACTTACAAAATATAGAGAAATAATACAGAAATGAATAAAAATAAAGACACCGAGAATTATATGAACGTAAAATTTCTATAACTAAGTTAACTACTTTAAATTACTTAACCCTTTGATCATAGATAAATTTAATTTTCTACAACATTTTTAAACTAGTACACGAGATCGAATGTTCAAATTGAAAAATTTCATATTGAAAGTAGTATATAAATATTTTATTCCTATTGCATCACTTATAATCGAAGAATAATATGCGAAATAATATAATTCGTGATTATAAAGGACCAATTATTATGAAATAAGATTTTTTTTTTTATGGTAATTAACTGAAAATTGTAAAGCGAGTGTTACGATTAATTCAATTAATGAAAGTTGATTAATCAAATTAAGACTAAAAAAAAAAACAAGAAGTGATTATCGTTAATAAAGTAAAAAGTCTGAGATCGAAGGGTTAAACATTTTGTACTTTGTATTTTCTAATTTCTAAAGCATACCTGGTACAATAGCGACAGTCTTCAAGGCTCGGAGGACTCGAAATGTCCTGAGAGCGGCAAGGTTGCCTAGATCTATTCCCATCGTCACATAACTGCAATACACCCGAACATCACACACACATTACAGTGGTCAAAGAGAAAACGAGGAAATTCAGTTTTACGAAATAAAATTGTTAAAAAAATATAAACAAAAGTGTAAAGTAATTTTATAGGCAAAACTGATAAAACGTGTCAAACTCGTCAAATTTTTACTTTCTTCTACTATTAATTAACTATTTCCTATATATATATATATATATATATATATATATATGTATATATTAATATGATAATAATAATATTAAAAATTAAAAATGTATATATGCGTAACAGAAATTATGATCGTAATAACTGATTACTGTCGTTAATTAGAATGGGAAATATAGAAACTATTATTTCATGCAATTCGACGTTTAATATAAAATAATTAACCAATTACTTTAGTTCCTAAATAAATAGAAGTGTCTATTAGTATTTCTTAAGTATCTATGATATAAAAGTAGAATTCTAAGCTACAATAATGTGTCCAAATATACGTGCTTAAATTTCATTTTTTATTTTATACTCTTATACATTTACTTTAAATCGTATGATTTAATAGCAATATTAGTTTTTCTAATTTTACGAACCAAAAATGCTATTTCGGATATTAATAGTCTATTCGGACGAATAAATGATCAAATTACAAACCATGAAATTATTATAGATAAAGAATTTATTGAATTTTTTGTTTTTTTTTTCTTTTTTTGCAAATTTTATCAACGTTTAATCGAATATTAAATTTATAGTTTAATTTCCTTTTAATTCATAAAAAAATATGAACATATATTTATACGGTTTAAAATGTCAATATAAATTTTATTATATTTACTCATAAGATTAATTAATAAATAATTATAGATAACTTCCATACATAAGATAGCATTTCTAGTATATAACTAATAAGTACTGACCAAATTTTCATGTATACTACTTATTACTAAATTTACGTTTTATTAGAATTAACTAAATAAGTAAAATCAATTTATAAATTATATTCAATTAATGTAAGCATAGACACGTGTATTTTTTACTGATTTGTAACTATTCTAAAAAGAGTATACGAAGATAATTATCATACATACTCTGTCTGAAATGCTAAATACGAGTATGATTTCTAGCGTGAACTAGATGATGATAAAATCATATGATCAATATACACACACACACACACACACACACACACACACATGTATATAATAGCATTGTATATAAATAAATTTTGCGCGTAGAGTAGTATTTATTCACTGCTGAATCGCGCGCCTTTGTTCAGTTACTAAGTAAAGTAGTTGTCAGTAGGTACGCAATTTGAGCGAAGTTGCTTGACGATTCAATAAATGAAAACTATTATACAGTAAATATTAAAACAAAATAATACCATGATAATTAAGACATTATCAAAAATAAAACGCAGCCTTTACCTCGTTAAAATTTTAATTAATATTACATTTTTACATTTACTTCAAAATTATTAATCTAAATAAATTATTTATTATACAAGAATTTAGCTCATTTGAACGCAAATACGCGAATATATGGTTTTTTGTTTTATATTATTAAACGTACTGAATCAAAATATTCCTAACAAAAATAAGTAATAATTTTATACTTGCAATGCACTTTAAAATGTTTATAAATATTCTGAAAATAAGAACTAATAAGATTATTGCATTAGATTAAATAATTATATTTATAAATCAGTTACAAGTAATTCTTACATATTTTATATAAAGCAGATAATATTCCAACGAGAAAAAATTATTTAATACTATTAGTCATTTATTATTTTTATATATTACTGCATTTGTCAACAGAACTTCGCCCTGCGAACGTACATATTTTTAAAATATCTATACAAAAATATAATTAATTAAATATGATTCTGTAAAGGGTGTATTATTTTTATCGTTCATTTAATCACAAATATAATTCTACATTCTTAATACGCCTATAATTTTTGTATGTATAATAATCATTGTAATAACAAATATATGTAAGTTAATTATTTGTTATTAAAAAATCATTTTCACATTTTTAATTGAGATTGGTTATTATGAAAACCTCTAAATACCTGTATAAATATTTTTATATGACTATAAAACTACACATGTACGTAATAATAATAATAATAATAATAATAATAATAATAATAATAATAATAATAATAATAATAATAATAATAATAATAATATGGTTCTCTAAGAGATCTGTCTCTATATTATATTTTGAAGCAAAAACTTAAAATGTTATTAGAACGATAAAAAATAAAAAATAAAAATCCTGCGATCTAACTAATGACAGATACATAGTATTTCACATTTAAGACAAGTATATAATGTTTGTTTATATCATACTATTCCACGCGATTAGTGTGTGTGTTCCTTGATCCGAACAATGCTATAAAATATGTAGGGGGGCTCCGTCAATCTAGTTGTAAAATTATCATTAGACAGTATTTTAGTGAGTGACGACTTCTGATTTTTATACAAAATAGTTTTTATTATAATCAGTGACGCCTTTTAATATATATCAGTATATAAGTATAATATACAATTTCACACGTGTACCTAGATAATACAAAAGTATACAATTATGTATAATATTTTCGTCATCAGAATATATTTATATTTAGATTTATATTTATATTTATATCTTATATTTATCTTATATAAATCTTATATTTATATCAGAATATAATATATTTACAGTAATAATATACAATATCAGTTGAATTGAAATGATTTTACTTCCAAGACAATATTATGTAAATATTATATAGGTAAGTACTTACGCTAAAGCTATAACTACGAAGTCGAGCCAATTCCATGCATCTCTAAGATAGGTAAAAGGCTGCAAAATGAAACCCCTCGCCATGACTTTAACAGCAGACTCAAACGTATATATGCCCGTAAATATGACCCTAAAATGTAAAAAAATGTATACAAACGCATAGATGCATTTAAAAGTTGTGTATATACATAATCTATTCATTTATTCATTATTTATTTATTCATATATATATATATATATATATATATATATATTTCATATACGTATGTTTCACGCATATATGTAATTTATGCTTTTTCAATAAAGAAAAATCAATAGTTAAAAAAAAGCTGCATAATAAAAATATTTTTTTCTACGTCATTGAAATTTTCTACTACATTTCTTGAATAAGAGAATTTATATTTAATGACGTAAGAAAAATAGTTGTAAAAATTTATTGATATTATGTTTAGAGATTCAATTATTGATACGATTTTATAAATTGTATAATGTTTGAAGATTTATATATTGATCGATGCTGAATGAATTATATAATATTAATTTCAGAAATTTATTATAATTCGTTAATAACTTATGATCAAATACCGAACTATACTATTGATATTTCTTGTTTTTATTATATTATATATAAATGACACAATACTAGAACAGAAAATCCTTTTTTTTTTTTAATAAAAAACAAATACTAATTTTCGAAATGAAAATATGGCTTTCAGATTATTATTATAAAATTCTTTATAAATACTTTTTACCTCGATATTATGTATTACGGACTTTCATTGATACGTTCTTTTTATGAAGCCATATTTTCTTTTAACATTTTTGTTTAAATAAATATTTGTCAATGTAAATGATATATATAAATAAAATAGCTTACGCTGTTAATTTATAAAATAGCAATATCAAAACAAATGTGTATAAATAAAATATATGAAATATATGCAAAATCGAGAAATATTATGTCATACGCATTCACTTACTCGGTAGATTCGATCGTGGGCGTCGTCGGCATGATCATAAGCACACAGTTACCCAAAATTGTAGTGATAATGAAGAGAGAGAATAAGGGATGGACCAGTATGTAGATGGCCACCCGCCGTATCGGATTGAATGGATCCAGGATCCATAATGCATCCGTGGCGGAAAACCTAAATATGTCCTTGCCCTTACTAATGACCACGAAAGTCTGCAATAAATAAAAATCTATCCATTATACAATTTTAAGCAACTTCATTTTTATTCATAAATACTTGAAATTTTTAATTCATAATCTACTTAAATGTTATGTAATATCTCATTACATAATTGTTTTTATTATTATTTATATATTATATTCATACATTACATTAATTAATATCAATATAATATTAATATATTACATAATTATATATATTGTTGATTTATATACAATAGCTTATACAAGCTGTAAAAAAAATTTATTACACTTTTAATTTCGAAACTTAGAATTTAGAAACTAATCACACGCTATCACAAAAAATATTATGTTATATCCTACTAAATAATTATTAGAGCTTTTTCTTTATCGTGTAAGAAACGTTGGCGAAAAATTTAAATAAATGATCTTGATTAGTATGATAATAAATAAGTGCATATTAATTTTATCGAATTATGAATATTTTTTTGGGAGGAGATTAGTTTTGTAAAATTAGATGACGAACGAGAGAATAACTAATCCAAGAAAATGTCAATTATATAAGTTGATGAGGTGGAAGGTAGGTGAGGGTAATCATGAAAATGCGTGATAAGACCCGAGTGGGGTATTAGTACTTACTTAGTATAAATATGACAAGCGATCTTGTTGTATAAAATAGAGAGTTTTTAGAGAGAAGGAGTTATCACTCGAATATTTGATATTAGGAAAATGAAGCATAATAATGAAAAAAAAAAAAAAAAAAAAAAAAAAACTCTTATCGTTAACGAATGTAATTATTAATTATAGCTCGTTGATATTTATTATAAATGACAACATAAATTAATTTTTATTAAATATAGTTTGAAAAAATCCTTCCCATTTTTTTATCCGACATATTTTTAACAAACTGAATAAAATAGTAGAATAAATTTACGATTTAAGATAAGAGTATATCGTAAAAGCAATATCTCACTCTTTGATTATGGTAGAAACTATCAATATCTTCAAGAGGTATGGAGGCCAGCTCAGGGGGAAATTCGTTGTGCAGTCGGACCGGAATTGGCGCTCCTTGCTCGAACATCGGATCCGGCTGTGGACCCTCATCCTCATCTTCGTCGTCATATCGAATCTGCGAAAATAGCCGTAAAGTTAAGATCGAAAAATTGCGAAAATTCCGGCCACAGGGATACACGAGGAGCCGAGTTCGCCAGAGCTTCATTAAAGCAATGCAGTAACCCTTTTTGGACAATGAACTGGCGTGTTTAGATACGAACTTTATAAGACAAATTTAATACCGTGGAAGTTCAAACAATTTTATTAATGAATTAGTTTTTTTTTTTTTTTTTTTTTCAATTAATCTCTATTTTAAAACAATATAATTTTTAATATAATATTTATTTTTTCATCTATTATTTTAGGCATAAACTGTAAAAGAAAGTTAATATTAAAAATGGATCAAAAAATAATATAAAGTTAAGAATAATAATATCATTAGTGTATGTTGGATGTAATGACAAAACTTTTCAAGAGCTCCTTATCGTTATGTATATGGTTATCACTATATCTTCTTCGAGATTAATTGGTAATGAGATTCAGACTATTTTTACAAAGTAATATATTTCCAATATAATGTTCTTTATATGATTATAATAACACATAAAAAATTCAAAAAAAAAAAAAAAAAAAAAAAAAAAAAAAAAAAAAAAAAAAAAAATCGACAAAATAGGCTCAAAAAGATGAATGTACTTTATTATTTTTAACATATTTTACATACAATCTGACATTGAGAACTACATTATTAGAAGAAAAATTTTAAATCTTCATATAAGAAAAATTGTATTTTTAAATTATCTATAAGAATATAATCTACAATCTATTTTTATTATATTGAATTTTAAATAATATTAGTAATTTTTTATTTCAGCAAGAGATACTGCATGACTCATGAATAAAATTCATTTAAATTTTAATTATATAAGCGGCTCCTCTCTGTTTCCTCCTTATAATCGAATGAACTCTAGGACTAAACCTATAACTTTACACGATGCAGCTTCGTCAGCAGTGTTAATTAAAAATTTATCGAAGGGCTCCAATGAGATATGTCTTCTCTATAAGTCCTTAATATTTATATCTTATGTTAAATTCTAATTGAAGCACCTCGAAAATATTAATAATCAATGCATAAAAAGTGAGTGTAATTATTTCGTCTTAACAATACGTGTAGATCTCAGAGCAATCTAAAGTTCGATAATGCGTGTTAGTTAATACGTGTAGATTATAGAAATTATAAGAAATTGTTATATATAAGTGATTGTCTAATTGGTTAATATTATCGGTATAGCAATATTTAAGAGAAAAATTTGTTTACTTGAGTATTGAAAAAGCGAAAGTTACAAAATTAATTTTCCAACACTTATTATCTAAATATATATAAAGAGAGAAAAACATTGTGCAATAAGTATTTACTGCAGTGCAAACTTGCATAATCATTGGGTGTTGCAATTACTATTATAATTTTGCGCGTTTTTATAAGAATTCAGGTAAGTATTGAATTATTATGGCTATATACGCATGTAATATAATAATTCAATATTATTAGTTTATAGTTAAGAAACACGCCAATGGTTAATTACAAAATTGTTTACTCGAAATTTAATCGTACGATTTTTATTGAAACCGCGTTCAAAGGAAAATCTGTGTTAACGATACGTATAATCAGTGTAGTATTTGAATTATGATGTATTTAAAACTTTGCTGTTGTATTTGTTTTTATTTTTGTTTATTTGTTAAAAAATGTTTCACTAGTCTAAGAGAGCACAGTAAATACACTAACTAATTTTCTATTCTGTATTATAAGCTGAAACGATGAATTATTACTTTTCCTCTTCATTTCATTCCACTATCATATTATTGACACTACTTCCATTACGTGCGTACTAAATATGTTTATGTGTATATGTTTAAATCTCTTTCAAGTCTCTATTGTCTATAATAAATATGCAATAATAGTTCGTGAATAATGTTTGCGTGTGTTTGGAAATTATCTTGAAAAGAAAAAGAGGTAATGGAAATGGTGAAATAAAGTGGGGGAGGGTGGGGGGGGGAAGGAATTGAATAGATAAAGGAAGGATGGAAGAAGAGTAAGGGACGAGAGGGATAGAGGGATACAAAAATGAAGAAAGGGATAATAAATAAATATTTTCTATATTTGAATAAAATTACATTGATTCTACGTAATTATATTGTAGTCTTACAAGATAGAATAGTAATAAGATATTTCAAATAAGATACTAAGAGATAAAAGCCTCTTGATAGTAATGTTATAGGCGCGCTGCAATTTGAAAGCTTCAAGCTACATAGAAATAAGCAACAAGCTATGTAATGAAGCACAAGGTCGTTTTATTTAAGCCTTTATTCAACAAAAGTAATTGTGTTTTTAGCGTAACCTTAAGGTTATAGTGTTGTCAGAGTGAGAAAGCTTCTCCTAATGTACATACAAATCTAATAAAAAAAAAAAAAAAAAAAAAAAAAAAAAAAAAAACTATAGGATATTTTTAATGAAATAATCCATATTTCGAAACCTTTTACATTTTAAAGCCATTAAAGAAACTACGTTCTTCTTGTAAATGTATTATCAGATAGAATTTATTAAAAATTGATACCAAAGGAAATAAATATGAATATAAATATACTGACAATATCATTATGAACATCATAAATATATTATTCAAAATATTAATATTAATAATTTTTTTTTTTTTTTTTTTAGATAATCTTTACCTGAGTTTAGACAGCAATAATTCAATAAGCACTGAAATATTATGGAAAAATTATATTCAACAATTATCTGTTATCTGTAGCAATTCTGTAATTCCATTTTAAACGCAAACGTAGCATAATTGATTATCGTTGTAAACCAATAGAAATTATATTATTTAAAATTATTTATTATCACTAAATTATAACTCTAAAATATATTTCTAATAAAAAGACATAATTTTTGTTATTACTTGGAAACTAAATTATATTCTTATATGACGTTAGATTGAGTTATACTTAATCAAATAGTCTACATGAAAGAAAACAGAAATAATGATATGAAAAATATGATCAACATAATTAGTAATTTAATCGATTGTGCATATAAAATATTGCAATGATCGATAATTAAGTTTTATCAAAGCGGCATATATAATATAAAAATTAAGTGCACAAAGCGGACAATGCACAGCATTAATTGGAAAAAAAAGCGTGACGTTCCCGGTCTCATTTAAGATGGACTAGCAATTTTTTATTACTTAGCACACGTGGCACAACATCTTACTTCTTTTTTCTTTTTCTTCCGTCCATAACCTGTCTGTAATTGAAGAAATGAAGAAAAAGTTGTTACATAAAATACAAATAACATTCAGAGGCGGAACAATAGTATTAGCATGAAGAAACCATAGCAATTGATGAATGAAAATAGATGTAAAATTGTTTTATTTCATAAATAAATCAAATAAAAATTATAGCAATAGTTATTCATCTATAATAGTATCGATGTATTCTAAATTTAACTAAACACGATTTACGTAAACAAGATTATTTCTATTTTTATTATTCCGAATTGAATATATTTAAATAGGGCACGAAAAAAATCGAAGCTATAGGATTCGAAGCACATTGCAAATAAATTATTGCAGAATAACAATAGACATATTTATAATAGGAAATAATTCTTGTTTAACTACCTTAACTTTGCTTTATTTAGACGCGAGTAAATAAAATACAACAATAATAATTCTACATCGATTAGTAATTGGAAAGATATGTGATATATATAACTACATACACACATACAGGTAATAATGATCACATAAGAATTCGTTGCAGAACATAGTGTTAGACTAAGATAATAAGGAAAAGTCAAAAGAGAGTTGTTCTGTGTACTATAGATAAAGTAAGATTAATTTTGATTAGTAAAAATTTTTTACGCGTGCTGTACAGCGATGATCATGTGGATTATGATGTAATAATATATACATATATATCTATTTATTTTTACAACTTATATCAACGATTATTTTTCTTCTATACTTTTAATTTAATAAATCGTTCATGATTTATTTGCTAATCCGTGAAATAATGGACATAAATTCAATATAGAGGAAAAATTTTCATTCGGAAATGCTTACTGGTAATAACCGAGCGATAAAGATTAATATTAAATAAATACAAAAATATTATTGCTCAAAACATCTGTCGAGTGAGCTTTACTTAGAATTTATTTCTATACATATAATTAATATACAAATTTAGTTTCTCCTTCGTTTTGATTATGATCTAATTAAATTTATAAAGATATTATTATCTTTAGATATGTATCAGATGGGATTAAAAAATATAAAAATTAAAGATTATGTATTTACATAACATTCGGATCCAAATAAAATAATAATCAGTTAAGTACAATTGCAAATGTAGCACTTGAAATTGTATATGATTATAAATTTATATGCTCAACGATGTTTTTCGAAATAATCGATATTAAGGCAACACATATTATAATTTGAATTTACGGTTAGTCATTATATAAAAATTACATTACTAACAATATTTAAACAAACTAACGTATTAAAATATTGCATTTATTTCATGTAATATCTCACGATACATGTTAGAGTAATTGTATGTGATCTTATTAACTATATACAATAACATTTTCTTTAGTTACTTAATATAAATATTCAAAAAATTCATCATTTTAAGAAATAATTTTTAATTAATCAATCATACTAAATTCCTTGATTATTAAACAGAATTTGAATAAATTTTACCGCAAATACTTTTATATCCTACTTGTTAATAATAATCTAAGCTTTTCGAATAAAAAAAATTTTTAAAAATGTAAGGTAATATACATTGTAAAGAAATGTGCATATTTAGATTATATTGCTTTATTTAAGTATATAAATGCATTTTAATATAATTTTTATTTAATAACATTGTTATCTTTATATGCCTATTTTTTTTAGTCTATTTTATAAAATTAATTAGTTCTTATAAAATGATTATTTTAAATATTAATTAAATAACTGTGTATATATATATATATATATATATTTTTTTTTTTTTTGAATAGCTATGTACATATTTTTGCAATGAGGAAATAATCAAAAATTCAAATAAAACAAATAACATATATAAAATGTAAATGTTCATAGTTATATATATATATATATATATAAACATATATGAAATAAAAATATCAATTAATAAAATATAATAAAATTTAATTTGAAATTAATTAATACTTAAAATATTGATAGCAACAGTATGAATGTATTTCATTTTCTTATTACTGTAAGTAATAAAATTAAAATAAAAAATTAAATCTATAATCTTATTAGATGGATATTAAAAGGTAATATTCTAATATATTATGTGATGAATAGAACAATAAATATATATTTTTGTCATATTTATATTACACATATTAATTATAAATGATAATAGAATTATGAGAAATATACTTGTTTTGTAATACTTCTAAATAAATTTTAGATCGTAGAATATTTAATTGATTAACATATATGCCAATACAAAACTGCAATAATGTTAATTAAAAAATTAATTAAAATAAAAAGGATGACATAACAAACTTTGAATTACTCTATATAAAATTACAAGACAAAGTCAACATATTGATGTACTTTAAATTATCAAACTATTTTATTTATGTTCGTTGATCATAATCGCCACGCTAATAAGAATATCACGATAATATCACCTAGGAAAATCATCGATTTCATGTAAACCAACTTTATTATTTCACTCCGTTTCTTTCTGGAAAGAGGTGAAAAATTAGTCGGCCATAAGTTTCATGAGCTTCATGTGCTTTTCATGAATACAAAAATAGGATGTCGTACTATCTTACGCTTAAAACAAATCCGCATTGCAGTTATTTATGCGTAATCATTATGGGATAGTCCGAAAAGAAATATCAACGATTTTATGGAGATGATACGCGAGATATTTTAAAAACACATATGCACATACGGTTTCCGATGCTCTCGTTATCCTATTTCGTTTAAAATTACAGATATTCTTTCTGTCCCGGGAATTCCGCATTTCTTCAAAACGATATTGATCTCATTTTAAGCGTAATTTTAGGATGAAAATTTTCTAAAGACAAGATTATTTGCAATAGATGAATTTATTATATTATTATTGCTTAGAATTTTTCTAGTAAAATGAAAATTTAACACCTAACGTTTATTCGTATCGACTAATAATGGTCGATTGAAATATAAAATTTTCACCGAATTAAGCTTCAGATGAATTTTTTTTTATTTTATATTTGTTATTCATGAAACTGAAAAATATGCCACATACACAGGCCTCTCGTATTTCGATGCCAACGTTTCACGCGTGAAATGTCGGTTTAAATTTATCAATAATTTATTACGTGGATATATTGTACTTTATGTCTACCTAAAATGCTTATAGTTTTTGAAAATGACGACTCTTATAATTCATTTATTCTATACAGTATGTGGTGTTGTAGCTACAAATAATCATTTAACATAGCCAAAAATTAATATTAACAGTTGATAAAGTGACTCGATTCACTACTTATTGCATCTACTCAATTTATTCACACATATTCATAAATATATTATTTATAAATAATTTATGCACATCATTCATTATTTTAATATTACATATCCTAAAATGGAGATAATTAATTTTCTTTACTATTATTTGAAGGGCATCGTTAGTCTCGCCTTAAATAAGATGAAAAAAATTTTCAATCGTTTATCGGATATTATTATATAGGATATACAGATGTTTATCGTAATATTATTTAACTCACCTCGCCTTCGGCTCTTTTTTTCTCGAGTTCTTTTTGCTTAGCAAGTTCCTCGGCTATGCGAACTTCAATCGCTACTAGTGATTCCCGCGTGAACGGACGGAACAAACTTCGTTCTTCCTCTGATATAGAGCCAGAAACTTGGGACATTGTCTAGGCTGCACACAATTAAGCAACCTTCCTGTTCAAATAAGAGAGCAAAATACATTCCTCTTTAAAGTAGTTAACGAGATTTGAGGGAGTAATCAGCGTAAAAACAAACAAACAAAAAAATATATCGATTATTTGCAATTGAAAATTCATTAATTTTTAAGGGGGCCTTTTACTCCTTTTCACGAAAAACAATCATTTAATCACATTTAAGTAGATTGATATTTATTTTTTTTTTTTTTTTTTTAACATTGATCTTGAATGATCAATTTATATATAATAATTCGATATTTTATTATATCTCATTATTTTATTATTTTATAATAACTTTAAAGTCTTATTATCGGATAATAATAAAATGTAGTGAGATGGCTTCTATTATAGTTAATTTTCAATTTGATAATTACCGACGAGAGAACTGTATTTTATCTTTAATAATTCTCATTACAATTCATGCTAATGAAAACATATAATTCGAAATAGGACAATAATTCATATGTTACGCCACATATATAATATTAATTTATATATTTCATTAATAAAGAAAATTAATACATTTGTTGTTATATATAAAACTTTTAGAAGTATCTGCCTTTTGATAATTATGGTTGACATATGTGTAAATAAACCTACACACCTAATTTAATTATTCTTATTTGATTTATTTATTATTCTTTTCAACATTAGCATCAAATTATTTTGTTGCATTCAATTTTTAAAAGCCTAAAATCTTATTATTAGATACAACAAAAATTTTATTTATGAAAGATTTCCTATTTGCGCGAAGTGCTTTACATATTTACTTCTATGTCACATATATTATTTCTTAAACGAAATCTTTTTTAAAGATATCGGGCTAAATATCTAAAATTAATATCAAAAATACTAAAAATTACAATGGTTTGTTGTTCTTCCAAGACATTTCTACATCATTTCCATCAAGTTTCGAATACATATGAATTCCAAACACGGAACATCAAATCAAACCTCCTCCTCCTCATCCTCGCCCAGTCAGCGAAACTTTATAATATGAAACTCGGAGCAACCAAAATCTCGAATAGTCAAATAACAACTGTTTATCACAATTTTCAAATTTCCTCGACTATGTAAATGAATAAGTATTTATCTAATTCTAAGCTACCACTTGGACTTGTAATATAAAAGTTCATTTAGCATGTTACGTCGGAAAAACGTGCCTACCGCAAGTACGACAAAATTATACGCTAATTAGAGTCTGAATGGTCGCTCTTACCTTGCTATTGATGCTAACAGTTTCGGAAATGCCAATCGCTGGGGTTTCGCGAATCGCGAATTCGATCCTGGCGGCGATGCGACCTGACTCCTGGTCCCAGTTCCGCGAGTGAGTTCCCTTTCGACAGTGACGAGGAGGACGTCGTCTCGAGCCAGGCTAGGGATCGCTGCTGCTGTTGCTGATGCTGATTCTGTTGCTGATACCGGACGGATGGGCGCTGCTGCCGCTGCTGCTGATTAATGGCGTTGTGCCTGCTTCGGCCGCCGACGAGGCGGCCCTGATTTTCTTGTCCCTTACCGTGCTGCTTATTTCTGTCGCAACTACCTCTCCCTTTATTATCGCACTTGGCCTCCTCGGCAGCTGCAACGCCCTGCTTCGTTGACGTCCTTGTGGCTACGATCAGTAAGGAACGCAGTGAGGCAGTGCCTGGTTTAATGGGGCCCGTCGTACAACTCGAACCAAGATTTTTCATGTCCGACCTGCTGGTATTGTGGATAATAATAAGAGCCGTTAGATGTGCTCTTGATGAAGGATTCTCGTAATTTTCTTTTTTGTTAGCTCCTAAGTATTTATTTTGCCTTTTTCCCGATGATTATCTCATCGATGTTCACACTTTTGTGTCATACTAATAATATTGGAGTCATAAAGATATTGACCCTCTTATTACTAATGGCTAAATTTGTGTTTAAAGATTCTAAATTTTCAGGAAATTTCAGGAAATTTATTTATTGATAAATGCACATATATTAGTTTTATTATCATCAATTTTGCTTATAAAAAAGAAATATGATTTATTCATTAGAATTTCAGTAACAGGAAAGTAAAGTAGATCAATCGACTTGCTCAATAGGAAACACTTACGCCTAGCGGCCGTAGTTAACTAACACTTAACCATAATATCTAATCATTCCGAGTACTAATTTGATAATTTTATCTATTCATTACTCAAATTTCTATTTGATAGAACTAATTGAATAAATAATTTGTAACTTTTTTTTTTATTACATTTTTTCTCATACTATAAATAACATTTGTTAATATTTGTAAAACTCTATAATAATACGATTTTCTTATGATTAGATAATTTATATAATTTATATAATTTCTCGAAATAAAAATTTTTCCAATATAAATATAATTAATTTTAATTTATAAAAAACTTCTTTAAGCATTATTATTGTTACAATCTTATGGTCTATACAAATTTTTATGTAAAGAATATAATTAAATTATGAAAAAATATGCAGTTAAATACATTGCAATAATTATAAAAAAAAAAGTTACATCTAGTGATAAATTCAAAAGTTTACAGAGTATTGGTTCGGAAGAAATTAGTTCATAATGTTTGAAATACATAAGATTTAAAAACTTTCGATTATTTTCGGAAAAAGTACGTTACCGTTTTGTAAGATTTAAATGAAATTATATTTTTAATTTTCTTTAATTTTTTTTTTTTTTTTTTTTTTTTTTTTTTTTTTTTTTTTTTTTTTGTATTCCTTTAGTGAGAATTTTCATTAATGCTTAATTCTTTAATAAAAATTATATTTATGCGATCAATTATCAATCCAAATATTATAATGTGCAAGTTCCTAAACATTATTTGCTCACAAAAACTAGAATTGTATCAATGAATTAATTAAAATAACAATTCATAAAACAAAAAAATTCCAATAAATATTAACCCCAAAATTTACATATTTTTTTCAATATCTATAATACGTATGTAAATAATCGTTACAAATACAATAATGAAGTTGAAACATACTTTCATCATATATTTTATATTTACTATCGAATGATTAAATTGCATGGAAGAAGTATTTTAACTTTATTTAAATGATAATAATATACTTAATACTTAAGTATATATTTTCATCAAAGATTTGTACTTCCATAAAAACGAAAGTGAGATAATTATTTGCATACGTATAAATTAACATAATGTACTTAACATTTAAAGTTCATTTTATATTTTTATATACTTACGTATACATGAAGCGGCGGTTATAATCAATCTGATATCAGAATTATCATAGTATGATCCGCGTCAGTCAGATTTGATCTGTAAGAAAAAGGAAATTTATTTAGTGAGAACATTTTAATATTAAATTTAATTTCAATATTTTCTTCCTTTTATTAAAATAATACATCTTAGGAATGTTTGTAAGGGATACTTTACTACATTAATGCATTGTAACTACTAAAAACCCTTCGACAAGTATAAACGTGCTTACTAACTCGTCTTTACAGCTTCGATTTAATCTGATTATAATTCTTTAAAATACATCAAGCTAACATCGATATAGTCAAATATTTATCTTTCCAAGCTGACATAGCAAATAATCGAAATTTTGTATAAATATTTCATATACATGATTTCTAAAGTTAGCATATAACCATTATCATATAATAGCAATTTGTGAAATTAACGGGTAACATATTAAAAGCTTCGGTTAGTCGGATACATCAGTGAATTGCAAATAAAGGACATAAATTTTAGCTGGTTTCAAAAATCATAATATTAATCGACTTTTATTATTTTCATGATACACTATTATAAAAGGAATGATTACTTAATAAATCAGAAATTTTATTTTAACAATACAGTCGTAAAGTTTATATAAATGTGATAATAAAAATAAATTTATCTTACTCTTATATTATCGTTACTCTTCGTAATTTCTTAAAAGAACTATGCTAAAAATTGAAATGCAAATGCCATGAGATGTTTTGTAATTAACAATAACAGCGCAAATCTACTAAATAAAAATGTTCATATATAGTAAAATTTTATAGACGAAGTCATTGATAAATAATTTGAATATATTATTATTTTAATAAATATAAAATTTTAATATTTACTCAATTCAATTTTTCAATAAAAAGTTTATTAACGAGAAATTCATTATACGTAAAAGATAAATAATAAAGTTTAAATACATTTCAGATAGTATGTAATATAATAATAATAATAATAGTTTTACTACAAATAATGTATAGTTTGATAAATAATTTAGCGATCGATATATATTCGATTTTGTTATATACTTATGTAAATAAAATCAATTTAAACGTACTTATATTCCATTTTATTGAGAGTCCACTTCAATATGTACATCTGTCGCATATCTAATTACGAAAAATTTGCTTATCCCAGACATATTTTCATGATTTGGCAATTTTCCTATTGAATATATATATATATATATATATATATATATATATATGCATGAATGTGTTGGGCGGGTGAGATCGGCCGTCACATGCAAAAATGGAAAAACGTGCGCGCTTGCGCACAGAAATATTGAACGTCTGGTGATAAAGCAAAGTAAAAAAAGAAAAAAAGAAACATCAATCGTACAGGTATACTAATCCAACGAACGGAGCCAGTGAACACGTTTTTTGCACTGGTCTCCCTACTCAGCGATTTCCGCAAGTCGCGTGCAAGACACAACCCACGACCCACAGGATGCATCGTGCACTGAAGCAAAAAAGAAAATAAGAAGGAATGGGGGGGGGGGGGGCACACGTATAGAGGAGGGGAGTGTCGAGGAAGGGATGGTGATGGGGGGAGGGGGCAATCAATAGTGTTAGCACCCTGAACACTCGCCTAAGTACGTCAATGACGCGAATATAGGATGCGCTGAAGTGACCGAGGCAAACCAGTTTTATATTAGCCACAGGTTTGTACAGCCGATCGAAATTATTCTTCAATTATTGTACAAGAGAAAGAATGCGGAGGAAATAAATAAGTAGATATATCGAGAAATATAGTGATGAAGATGTAGATAAAAATTGAGATATGTAGACAGTGATAGAAATTATCGAGGGAGCGTTATTATTTTCGATGAATTATAAGCATAGGGAGAATATTATTATTAACGAAAAGATTCTTTAAGAAAACACTGGATAGCTCATCTTCTTTTTATACGAGAGTACGAAAGAAATAAGAGAAATAGTAATTCTGCAGACATTTCAAGCCATAAATATATCATCGTAAATATGCATTATTTAATATCGAAAAAATAAATATACGATGCCTATTAATATGAAAAATTATATAATTAACGGGATTTTTTAAAATATTCGATAAAAATACAATAGTTATTTATAAATCTTTAAATGCAATTACCTAGTTAAAAACTTTTATTCCGAATATTCTTTAGATGATAAGGACATTCTAAAATATTTCGTTATTGTCTAGTTCGTTTGTCTAATTCGTATAATATTTCAAACAAAAACAAAATCGAAAAGCTATATATATTTTAAATTTTGTCGATAAAGTTTATAAAGATAATGTATATTTATATTGTTACTATAAATTTATATTTAGAAAATGACAGGATACAGTGACTAACGAAGGCAAGAATATCGAAGTTATATCAAGACTGTAAAATATATTTTTGATATCGTATTTATTATTCTTAACTATTATGTACCTCAATATTAATAATTTAAATGAAATTCTCTGTTAATCATAAAATGTATCTATGTTTAATTATGAATTGTATTAAGTCTATAATAAAAGTATATTAAATTAGTTGTAAAGTTCTAATCAAATATTCTGTCAGAAGAAGAACGTAAAATTTAATTTATACAATAAGATTATAATATAACGATTAAATAAAAATTCATTGTATTTCGTTATACTTGTACGTTTATAATTAATTGATAAATTAACTGTAATTAATTTATAATAATAATAATAATAATAATAATAATAATAATAATAATAATAATATATATATATATATACAATTAATAAAAGTTTTTAATAAATTATATAAACTTAAAAAAAATCATTCTATTTTAGAAATTTATTTGTAAGATTAATAAATCTTGAGTAATATTGGGTAAAAATAAATTAAATGGTAGTTCATTAATAGTAGTCTATCGCCTTATATTTATAAAATTAAGTTAATATAAATTTAATAAAAAATAATTTTAGCATATAAATTTAAATACTATAATAAATATGATAAAATAAAATACACGTAATATCATAATTATTAGCTATATTCTACATAAAATAATTGACATATCATAATAATTAAGCGAGAACGTTATAAAAGAATTTTTTATTAAAGTGAGATTCTTAAATCAATGCAATGTCTATATTTATTATTAATTACGGTAATAAAATAAGGCAAATATGATTGTGTATATAAATATAATTAGGATTTTCAAGTTTACTATTAAATAATGTTGCAGTATATTTATATAAATTATTTAAGTAAATTCGAAAAGATCGTATTCTAAAAATCATCTCAGAGTTTAACCTTTGTTCTAGCTTTCATTTAATTTTATAAAATGTTAATTTCATTCATTAGTTTATTTCTTTTTGAAATTTGTCTTTATAGAATTTCAAAAGATCAAAATTCTCTACTCGGCAATATCTCATAAAATGTTTATGTAATATTTAGGTAATTTACATGCATAAATGTAAAATTTATAAAACTTTATAATAACGTCTGCAATAATCCAGAAATTTTACTTCTTGTCACAAAATATATAGACAGTGAATATTTAAAAAAAATGCACAATATAAAATAAATGTTCGTACAATCAGAAATAATATCTTCCGTGTAACATAATCAATAATTTAAAAAATCGTCAAATAATTAAGTGAACAAATTATGAAAGCAAACAAGCGACAAATACATTTTATTTAATAATACATCAAATTTTAAGTGAAAATTAAAAAAATTTTTTATTCACGATAACACTCCAGAGAATATAATTACACTAAAAATAGAGGGATAATTGACTACGAACACCAGTTTGCTTACTGATCGGCTTCATTATTCTCTGCGCGTAACTCAATATAGTTCGACGTTGAGGTTCAATAAGATGAACCAAGCAATAATGCATAACGAGAATAAAGAAAAAAAAAATTACATTTATGAAATAAAAACTATCTATTTTATTTACCATTTTGATTCGAAATTTCTTTACAGAAATATGTATAAATGCATAAATCAAAATATAATTTATCGAAACTGAAATTGTTCTCTTGATTCTAGGTCCATTCCTACATATAAAATTTCTAATATAATAAATATTACCTTTCATATTGTAATTTTTATTATGTTATTAGCAATATTAAATGTTATTTTAAAACTATTTTATAAATAATAAAAATTATTAGGTCTAACATAAATTATGTTCAGCATTATAAATTATAAACATATATTGACTCATTTTTTTAATATTAAACTGTACATTCTAATTTATTTACATTAATCTTATTGTTTACATTAAGCTGCTTTGAAATGAATAATTACATTTAATAAAAATAATTCGCTTTATATATTATCCATTATATAAATAATTAATTTCAATGTTTTCTCGCATTTTATTTATTTAAATACAAGATTGACAAATTTAAATAATAATAAAGCTTTAACTCTACAAGTGTAAAAGTATTTTTTAATTTATTGATTTATCATTTAAAATCGCATGAAAACATTAAAAACAAAATTCGTATTACTTAAATTTAATTATTTTCATAAACTAATTCCGAGAAACTAAAAAAGAACAATAATTGTACAAACTGACTTTTATTAAATATTATTTAGTATAGTTTAATTTTGTTGCTCGGTTTCTCGAATTTACCTTAATATTTTTTGAACTGGCAACATTTATAAATAAGTATAATTTTTTATCCTGATAATTCAGTCGATCTATTCGTTCGTTTAATTAAGTTTCTGTTATTTTATTTATCTTTTTATTTACGAAGAACTTGATTATTATCAATGGAAATAAAACATAAAATAAAACATAAAATAAAACTCCGATCAATATATATTATTAAATTTAAAATTTTTAAATAATAATATTTATGATAATAAGCGTATAGAAAATTTTAGCATTATGGATAAAGAACAATTAGGTATGAATAATTTTTTATACAAATTATCCATAAAATATGAATAACATTTTCCATAAATCGAAGAATAAAAATTTGTTGTAATTATTTGAAGTCATTAATATTCCAAAATAAAAATTATTTTGCCTTGTATTTTTCAATCAA